ATGTCCCCGGGAGAAGAGGAATAATATTTTTGGCCACGAGTCGAAGTTTTGGCGTCCGCGGAATCTCGGGGTACGTCACACTCGGGGGTGGGTTCTTTCAGAGTAATTGAGGGTTATCGCGTGGGGGAAAAAAGGAGCGGTGTGCACTCGAACAACAAAGCTCAAACAGAATGTTGTTGTGAAAAATAAAAGTAGAAAAAAGGGGGAGGGGTACAAAAGACTTTCTCGGGCTGATTTGAATTCGTATCTTCTTTTTTAAACAACAGGGTTCAATGAGATGTCCCAAGAAAGAAGTGTGACGGGCGATGTGTGAAAAGGCGAGAATGAGGTTCCCTTGGAGACTATGACGCCACGAACCGATGATGTCGCCTGCTCCACTCAATAGCCATTTCTTGTTGGTATTTCGCCCGCTGACTTCGGTTCCAATGATGATAAGCCAGCTCTGTACCGACCGGTGCGAAATCTCCCGAAGCCTCGAGATTGAAATGGTTCAGTTACTATCTGGACGCTGTGCCTGCTCATGCTTTCTCTCTGCGTCCTTGACGTGGCGTTGGATAGCGGTGCGATAAGAGAGCAATGGGCGGCGGGGAACCACAAATGTGTCTCTGATAATCGAGGCACAGTACAGTAAGGTGAGGTGGACGCGTTTCACCCACCACCTGTACACAAAAAGAGAGCCATAAAAGAGCACATGACAGAGCCACAGAGAAGCAAGGAAGCCCAAAAGAAGTAATTGAATCAAGCTTGAAGACCAATTCTACCGTTTGGGTACGATGCTTGCTTGTTATCTTGTCTTTTCCCCCCTCCTGCATCATGTACTGTATTGGTTTTATCGATTTGGTCCATGCACATTGCTGCGGTCGTACCAGATCCGACTTAGCATTGGATTTAGCGTTTCTCAATCGAATTGATCACGGGGGAAGTAAGATCGACATGATCGAGATGCTAAGACAATCCATGGTTTGGTAGCACGGTCGAATCATCATCACTCCGTTTTGTTACACACGGAGGTTGAGTCCTGCTGTCCTCGAACTGCGGGGGGAGCGTCGTTGGGTAGCTCAAACATTGTTGTTAAGCAAGTGGCTGGCAACCCTTGATGAATACCTAACGCAATTCCGAAAGCCATGCACGATGCAGTGACAATTGTTAAGGATCATTGGATGCCATGGCAGGGCTTCGGTCCCGGCATAAGGTTGAGAAAGACTGCGCGGTCTCGGCAACGCCCAAAAGTATTCGCAATGCCGGCGTGCAGAGTCACAATCTGCCAAGGACACAAATTATTGTATCACTTGCCGAAGTTGAGCTGTTCTGGCCCGGGTTTCCAACCCAATATTCATGGTAGTAACTCTGTTGCAGAGTCTCGGGTCGTTAGTGTCTAGACTATCGTGCTCGGCGCGCTTACTATCAGCTGTCGATGACTTTATGTACTGGCCACGGACCGACCTGCCTCTTACCCAGGACTTTTTCAAGCTGGGTGAAGGTTGGACGAAGACGTTATCCTTTGTCAGGATTCTGTAATCCGTGAGGTTCTGTTCTCAGGGATCAGACAACTCAATGTCATCGTGGAGACATTCGCTCATTGCTGTTTATGGAAGGATGAAGCCAGAGCTGAGCGGAGTGAGATCGTCCCTTCCGGCCGTAAGTCGCGATAAACCCCTAGAATCATTCTCGAAACATTGTGCGCATGTACGGAGTACATCTGACTGTAAACATTCCGACCGATGACAGGCAATATGATATGTTGCCGATGAGTAACATGCTTTGCCTTACGACCAAGTACCGGTAGATTACATGCATACAGAAGATCAAGATAATCAATGTGATACGTATGGCTCCAAGTTCTGCAGTGACATATCAGTAACTTTGGTCAGCTGATGTTGAGTGTGTTATTAGCCTCAACAATGTGGCGCCTCAACACACACACTATTGCCTACAATGCTCAAAAATGACACATCTCCCCGTACTGGTATGGGTCATGTTAGTTCATCAGGTGGTACAGGCTCGCAATCTACGAACTCAGAGTGAGTCCCACCGGTAAGTCGGAGCCTTGATTAACCTTCATGTTAAATTATCTCTGAAATGACCATAGGCTAATGTCTCGAATGCTTCGAATCGCTGACAGCTCTGATTATAGCCTAGCAGCAACAGAGCTACCACCGTCAACAGTGATAGTCGCTCCGTTCACGTATGCACCAGCCCGGCTCCCCAGGAACAGACAAGCCCCTGCCACATCTTCCGGACTTCCGATACGACCCAATGGGATATTTCCCTCGATGGTCTCACGATGCGCCTCCAAGGTGGCGGCCATCATTTTACTCTGGAAAGGACCACAAGCCAGGGTATTCGACCTGCCAGAAAAGACGGCCATATTAGCTCAACTCTCATCGACAACCAGACAGCGAGGGTCACAACATACGTGATATTCCTCCTTCCAAGATGATTAGCCAAGACTCGGCTCAGATGATGCAAACCAGCTTTACTAGCGCTGTAAGCAAAGGTCTCCAGCGTCGGGACCCTCAACCCGTCGATACTGCCAATGTTGATGACCCGAGCCGGGTCGCCCGGCGCAGCAGCCTTCTCGAGCAAGGGCGTGAGAAGCTTGGTGAGGTCGAACACCCTGTGGAGATTGAGAGTGAGGACCCGTGTCCAGGCGGAAGATGGGTATTCATCATATGGGGCACCCCAGTTCGATCCCGAGTTGTTGACGAGAATGTGAAGCTCTGGTAACAATCAGGTAAGCGCTTCATGACTCTTGCCACCCACTTCAACTGCCAGCCCTCTCGTGAGGGGGACCGAATGAAAAGACGCAGCACTCACTACTCTCGCGCTTGGTCAGCTCTTCTGCCAATTTCTTGAGATCTTCCTCTTGGTAAAAATTGGCGGGAATAGCATAGGCCTTGCCCTTGCCGAGCGCATTGAGCTCGCTGGCGGCCTTCTCGCAGGCCTTCGCATCGCGCGAGGAGATATAGACGGTGGCACCGTTCGCTACATATCCCTCGGAGATCATGCGGCCAATGCCTTTGGCTCCGCCAGTGACCAGCACTACTTTGCCCTGATAGCTTGCTTAGCGTTCATGATACTCAACCGGAAAAAGGGGGTGTGTGCCGCTAGATTTTGCGCAACAATGCGACTAACCTTCACATCGAAGAGTTTCTGGACGTCCATGATGGGCTCACTTCCGAGTCTTCAGGGTCTCTATTTATAGATGATAGAGCTATAGATGTAGTGTACCTGCTGAAGAAATGGTTCACGTTAAAGCGTCAAACTCGCGAGCGGTGCCAGATGAAGCTCCTTATACAATGCGGAGAGAAGATGTCGGGGTAAACTAACCGACGGCCGAGCGATTACTGAGCGGCTTGGCACAAGATGCCGAGGCAATCCGAACTAAGAAAGAACAAGGGCACAGTTGGAAGGGTGAAGCACTGTTTCTTTGGTTTCTGGTTACATCCTAATATCTCGAGGAAGTATACCGACTTCTCAAAGGATCATTTTAAGAATCCGTGGTAGTCTTTGTACCTACAGTGATGCCTGGTACCTGAGGTTGTAAGTTCCGGTCTAGAGATATACATGCCTGAGGCGTCGATCTCTAGACCGGAAGGACGGAGGACCGCAAAAAGTGAGCACTGCAGTGGCGGGGCAATTCCACCCTGCGTGTTTGTTATCCAGCAAAAGTCCAGCAGCCCACCTTTGGGACCTATACCCTCCATTTATCCACGTTCTTCTTGCATATTTTCCTTGGAGTATCTGAACCAATACGTATCTAATTGGGGTTTTTTTTTCATCCTTATATCTCCTTGTATACCACAGCAACCAATACAGCCAACCCTGCAGCCATGGAGGAGCTGCAAGCCCGACACCGCAAGGAACAGAAAGACCTGCAAGCGAAAATCACCCAGAAGAAAAAGTCCGCCACCAAGAAAACGCGCAAAGGGATCAACGATGAATGCGATCGACTGCAGCGGGAGCTCACGGAGCGACAACAGGCACAGATTGCGGAGTTGAGCGGCGAGCCCGTGGACGGTGGTCTCGAGGACCTCAGCCTCAACGACAGCAAGTCCGACGATCATGGTGACGAAGTGACGAGCAAAGACGACGTCAACAATTCTGCAGATGATCCCTCGGCCTCTACAACCACAACGACGACGACGTCGACGCCCCCAAGCAGCAACAGCAGTAGCACCACCGCCACCACCACGGCGGACACCCCGCAGCCCTCCGGCGGCCCGCGCCCCAAGAAACCAAACCGTCAAAAGGCCCGTCTCGCGCGTCGTGCCGCGGAGCAAGCGGCCCAGTCGGCGATCGCAGCGGAGGAGGCTGCGAACCAGACCGACCACCGGGGCAACGAGAAGGAGGTGATGGATGCCGTGTTCAAGCGCTTGCAGCTGAAGGAGATCGAGATCAACCCGGACGGACATTGTCTGTACTCCGCGATTGCGAGTCAATTGGACGAGATGGGTCTGGGGCTCAGACCGGATCCCAAGAGGATGGTTCTCCAGGCTCCCACCCAGTCGCGGGTGGAAACGGTCACTTTCCCGAAGCACGATGGATACCGGGCGATCCGGGCGGTGGCCGCGGACTTCATTGCGGAACATAAGGATGACTTCGAGGCGTTCATGGAGGAGCCGCTGGATCAGTACACCAGGAAGATCAAGCTGACTGCCGAGTGGGGTGGACAGCTCGAACTGCAGGCGCTGGCGAGGGCATACGGCGTCGAGATCAATGTTATACAAGGCGACGGGAGGATCGAGAAGATAGAGCCGCGTGATGTTGACGGACTTGATGACGAAGCGAGAAGTAAACGGGTCATCTGGCTGGCATACTACAGGCATACATATGGGCTTGGGGAGCACTACAATGCACTATCAAAGCAGTCCTAGAGAGAGAGAGAGAAAAGCAGCAGAAGCGAGAGTCAATTTGAGCGAATCAGACCGGTGGATCCATCAGGGGATTGACTGATTCATGATTATGTGTATCCGTCTCCAGTTCCAGCCACAAGCGCACTACCGATGGCGCCATATGGAGACTCGATCTTGAACCACCCCGTTGCTGTCCTTGCCACCCTCATGTGTCTGGGCTGGCTGAAAGTACGCCACGCGCTCGAGACCATGCTCGCTTGGCTCGCGAAGAGGATCCATCTTGCATCGACCCTGAGCGTCATACGGGATCTGTTCACCCGGGTGACTCAAATGCTCCATGTAGGCCTCCGATGAGACTCCCCAAGGGGGTCCCTGCTGCGTCGGGTCCTTGTGCCTTGGAAACTCTAAGCAGATTAGGTTGCCGCGCGGCGAAGGCGCCAGAAGCTGGGTGTGTCGCAAAGCCCAATTTGGTCGCATCGTTGGATTTAGTGCGCAGAAGAACTGTAGATACGTGTAAGCCCAGATTCTGGCTATCATGGGCGAAGACACGAGAAACGTAAAACAGGGATCAAGCTGAGTGGCCTTACCGTATAATCGTATATCAAGTCAAAGCAGTTAAGCGGTAGTTGTAGACTCTCCAACCAGTCATTCTTGAAAAAGTCGCCTTGCACGAAAGCGATTTTTCCTCGACCTATTCCAGCATCTCGGACAGGGTACTTGTCTCCATTCTGAGCCGCCTCGCTCTCACAAATATTGACTGCAGCATCGCTATACTCCAGTCCATAGGCATCGTAGCCAAAGCTCGCAAGAAGAAGCACATCCACTCCTCTGCCACAGCCGGGAACCAATGCTTTCTTTCTGTAGGTTGCTCCCTGTGCATCCGTGGCAATTGGGCCTCCGACGGTCGCGCGCTGCTGAATGAGGGTATCTTCCAATGCGGGATTAGGAACACCCTTGTCCCAAGGCAAATTTTCGTTCTTATCCCAGAGCTCAGCCCAGCCGTCAACATAGTTATCCCCTTGATACTTGGCTAACGTGTCCCTGACTTTCTGTTGCATGGTGGCCTTGTCTGAATCCATCATCTTGCTTGTGATTTCGCAGACTGTACGAAGACAAAAAGGGCGTTTCAAGAATTGGAGGTGGTAGATTCAATGGCACACTTCGAGATTTATGACGATATCAGCCCGTTGCGTGTATGCGTGCTCCAAAGCATAGGCAGGCAGGATGTTCGATCAAGCATCGGTTCGAACTGCTGGTGGGCGTGGGGCAACTTGGACCGGCGGACCCGAGTCACAGTATCCACAAGAGTCAACCCGGCTGAATGCAGTCTGAACAATCGGCATACTCACCCCAGACGTTTTTGTCAATGACTTTAAGCTTAAATGTCTTGCAAGCGTGGTGGAGTCAAGCTCAGACTCCAGAGGCTGACCAATGCACCACTGTTATTGCTCGAGAGCTTGCTCTCGTCATCGGAGAAGCAACTCCTATGATATTTCTACTATAGTGAGCTGCACCTAGATTCAAGTGAGTACAGTTGAGAGTCTCATGGCGTTCGTCGTATGCTCAATGATGAGGAGAAGGAATGAATCTCTTCTGGCGACGCGGCGACCATGACCTGGAGCAGCAATGATGACCACTCACGAGACTGGCAACTGGTTAGGTATGTATTGCACAGTTCTACCGAGAGACCCGGATAAGAAACCAGCTCCCCACTCTCCAAGTCAAGTGAGCATTGACCTCGGCAAGTTTCTTGTTTGGATGGAGGGCGGCAATGCCCGCTCATCAAGCCTTCCGACTGGAGCCCTCGGATGGAACGGCATCGGCCCTTGGCTTGCCTGGCCCTACTAGATTAGGACTTGATTTGCGGAATGGGATGGTTAGCTCACTGTTGCTACATACTCGTACTGTAGACTTTGTTGGACTCATTCGGAATCCCAGTGATGAATACACAATCGGCAAATCGATAACGATGGATCCCTTGGAAAGAAGAAAGGAAAGTAAAGTGGGGGGAAGAGGGAGGGTCCACGCGGGCGACGACGGCGAAGGCCATCGCCTGCCTGTTTGGGACCCATGCGAGATATGGAGTGCACAACAATTGGAAGAGACTAACCGACCAACACCTCCTCCTCCTCCTCCTCCTCCTCTAAAGTCTTTCAGGTTTTTCCCCGTTGTTCCCAAAACTATTTCTGTACAATATTCCTTTTGCTTCTTCTCGTCTTCCCTTATCGGCCATGCATATTTAATACAAAGATCTACTCTTACGCAGCTCGACAATGGCCAGCGAGCTTCAACATATCAGCCAGGCATCATTTCAACTCAAGTTCTAGTCACACTATCCCCACTGAAGGCCGCATGCGTGATTCTCTTCGCTTGCTCGGCCTTTTCGTCTCTGTTATCTTCCATCCTGGCATTAGAACATAATTCTCGCCCTGCCTTTCATTAAGATCCAGGGAAGAATCAGACAAGCCAGTATAAATAGCTTCGCTGCTCGCTAAGCCGTACATCGCTACTCGCATCTCTGAGAGGTTGTGCTCGGATGTCAATAAACCACCCATTTCCGCTCTAAATGTCTCTATGGGTAATGGCGGCAGACAAGAGCATTCACAAAGACGAGGTCGAAAGCCCTGCGGTTACCAGCGAGACTCACCGCGACGTCGTATCGTCCAAAAATATCATCGAGACACACATTGACGATAAGCCTGCGCCTCAGAAAGCCGACAGCTCTCCGGTGATAGAAGGTAAAGATGAGGAAGACCGTGCTTCTTCGACTCACACTTCTGACGAAGAGCAAGAGGAGCCAGTTGTGGTACCCCGACTGGAGCGTAGGGGGCTCTTTGGGCAGCTTACGCTGCTGGCGGAGGTGGTAGACCCCAAAGTCTATCCTCGAAAGACGAAATGGTTCATCACATTCATAGTTGCAGTGGCCGGGGCTGCAGCTCCCATGGGCAGCTCGATCTTCTTCCGTGAGTCTATTCAAGTCCCCTGACACCAAGCACATCCTAACCTGTGCCTCCACTGGGCAAAGCCTCCTTGTCTCAGGTGTCAAAAGAACTAGGTACCTCGACTACCGTCACGAACCTGTCAATCTCATTATACATGCTTAGCATGTCTATCTTTCCACTGTGGTGGTCTTCGTTTAGCGAAAGGCTTGGACGACGAACAATATATCTTGTCTCTTTCACTCTTTTCGTCATATTCAACTCATTGTGTGCCATCTCTAGCTCAATCGCTATGCTAATTGTCTTGCGACTTCTGAGTGGAGGTGCTTCTGCCTCGGTTCAGGCAGTCGGCGCGGGAACTATTGCCGATCTTTGGGAGCCAAGGGAAAGAGGGCGTGCCATGAACATCTTCTATCTGGGGCCACTGTGCGGGCCATTGATAGCTCCCATTGTTGGTGGGGCTCTAGCTGAGCGATGGGGGTGGAGAAGTACTTTGTGGTTTTTGGCAGTTTGGGGAGCTATCACTGACATCCTCATCTTTCTTGCACTTCCTGAAACCCTGGCCGTCTCTGGTCAGGTAAGACAACTCAAGGAAGAACAAAAGGAACCGATAGATCGTCAATTGAGTCGTGTCTCATCTCGGCAAGTCATTCACGTTACAACCAAATGGCTCAAGTATCTCAAGATGGTACTCTTGGATCCTCTGAAGATTATTCTCTATCTGCGGTATCCCCCGGTTCTGCTCACGGTCTACTATGCCAGCATCACGTTCGGCTCTCTATATGTACTCAACGTTAGCGTTGAACACACGTTCGGAGGTAGCCCGTACAATTTCACTACAATCATCGTCGGCTTGCTATATATTCCAAACTCACTGGGTTACGTCGTGGCCAGTACCTTCGGGGGCCGTTGGATGGACAGCATCATGCAACGGGAGGCCAAGAAAGCCAAACGGTACGACGAAAATGGCAAGCTGATATACCATCCTGAAGACCGCATGCGCGAGAACGCCTGGCTTGGGGCTTTTCTTTACCCTGCCGGGCTGATATGGTATGGCTGGTGTGCGGATCGGGGCGTGTTTTGGCCGGCACCGGTACGTTCCAAGCCCTCAAAGCTGTCAACTACCATCGAAGAATTCTTGTTGTCCCTGTATTTACACATTCTGAAGCCTCACTAACTGTACCGGGCAGATGATTGCGAACTTTTTCTTCGGTGTCGGCTCCATGCTGATCTTCGGTATGGCAACGACGATGTTGACCGAGTTCATGCCCAAGAAGTCATCTGCAGGAGTTGCACTCAACAATTTCATGCGCAACATCTTCTCGTGTGTGGGCTCTGTGGTCACTGCGCCGATCATAGATGCCATCGGCAATGGGTGGCTTTTCACCATCCTTGGACTAGTCGCTTTTGCGAGCAGTTCTGTCCTCTTTGTGATGAGGATCTACGGACCCCGATGGAGGAAATCCATGGACGCGCTCAGAAAATGAAATCTTATATTCGAAGGCTGTGAGCATCTTTTATACTCGACCGAGGGCTGTGGCGTCGCTTTGGGTATCCAAGTCAAGATCTCGGTTTTCTGTCGGCGCACTCTGTCACACACTGACATGAGAATCTGACGTCGAGAGGAGGCTTTCCCAGGTAAATATCACAATGCATGCATTCGATTCTCGGTTTGAATCCCTGCGTGAAGCTGAGTCTAGGCCCAAACCTCGGCGCCACAGAAAAGGTATCAGTCTGGCCGAGCACCACAGCATATTCCAGGAAGCTTGCACAGCTTCATGATACCCGACGCATGGTTATGTTATTTTTAGAGTTAGTGATGACGGCATACAGATGACTCAAATACATATACTGTCAGACTGTAAGTATACTGTATTATCTGCTTGTCAATAAAGTAGTCGATGTCATCGGTGTCAAGCATGCAGCTGAACCCGATTGTGATGCCAGTGGCTGCTAGAGGTAGGCGGTGATCATCAACAGCCTCATGTACAGTGCAGTGCATGTTTCATGTGAGCAGCCTAATAGCCTTTCCGAGCTCAGCGACCAAAAGATACCTTATTTTAACACTTCTTGCTTGAACGACCGGTAGAGATGTAAGCGCAGTCAGACATTGCCCAGTACTCCTATCGTCTCGGAAACTATTTTTACCATCAACATACTGTAGTTAATGGTAGGGACATTTATCGGTCTGCCCTAGCCGCTCTGCGTTGCTCCTTGCGAGCCTAAAATAAAAAAAATAAAAGCTCAGGTAGGACAGCAGCAAGTATGAAGACAAAGCAGCGGCGGAAAATCCGAGGTTGAAATAATGATTTGTCGACAAGAAGCTTGAGAGAAAAAGAGAAGTAGATGTAAACTGAAGCCTTTTGGAAGCATGAACTGATTTTTCATCATTTGTTCGGGTCCCAAGCGGCAACTTGCATAAGGTGCCCAGTGGAAAAAAAAAAGCCATCTTACTCATAATTCCAGATGATAATCGGCAAGGATTAAATCTCGTGACGATAACCCTGGCCACGCTGAGTACAGTACGTACAGTGTAGTAATTACCGGGGATTTACTACACAGTAACTATGGAAAGAGGCAAAACCCGGGCTCCTCGGCCCGCTGCATTTGACCTCCCTCCCTCTTGCTTTGTCTTTGTTTGCCTTCCTTGGTGGTGGTGGTGGTGGTGGGATGACCACTGTGCGGCTCAATGGATAGGCTGGCTTACTGGACAATCATACACTTTGTTTGTAAGGGACGGAGAGGGCAATATACATACTACGTTTCCTGCAACACGATTTGGTGCAGCGACTCCCTCGTTTGACCACCCCACTCCCTCCCACCCGCCGATTCTCCTCATTAGATCTGGAAGACACTTGCCTTTCACAATGAGTGGTATAGTGTGACAGCAGGGAGTCTTTTGGGCCGTGGGTTGGGTGACGCACGCGCAACTGCAGCAGAAGAAGGGGGAATGAATTGGAAGAAATCTGGTTGGCGACTGGAGGAGAGGGAATTGTTTTTTGTTGGCCGTTCTCGCTTGCTGGCAAGCAGAATGAGATCGTGACTTCCTTTACCTCCTCCGATGAGATGCATAGAAAGATCTAGATAGTAGGGGGGGGGAAGGGGGGCGCTTCCTCGTTGCTTCTGAGACTTTGTCCATCATCGCCCATCGGGAGGCCCGATAGTCTTGTCTGATTGGAATTGATATACGTGGAGGACGTGTCAAGAGGGGGAGTGGGAGATTGTTGTGGTATGCACTATGATACTCCTCTCTTTTCTGCTTCGTCCAAGCGCCCTAAGCAGGGACTTGTGTGCAGAAGCTGTCAAATTGGTGATGGAGAGGACGAAATGCTCAGTACTCAGTACTCAGTGCTCAACGCAAGGTGGGCAGCGAAGTCTGCAGCGATACTCTGTAGTCCCCACAGATTTACGTACGGGGAAAATTTGGTTTCGTTTCGGACTTTTCGAGAGCGAACTTGGATTGAGGCTAGCTTAGTTAGCGAGTTTTCTCTTTTCTCCATCTTCAGCATAGATAATCAATCTTTGAGGTTGTCTGTCTCCTCAATAATTCCAATGGGTCCCCGAGGGGGAGAGGGGGAAGATTAGTGGTGGTGGTGGATGCTATGGCGGCCACTCACAGGCTGCCAAAACAGCAGACCGGCGCGCCTCACTTCGCTGCGGGTGCGACGACGGTCTGGCAGTCCTAGAGCATTATTTTTCTGTTCCTGCTCGTGAGATGGATATTTCTCAGATCAATGGGTGCCAGAATGCTGCAGAATTCGGAGAATAATTGTCAGCTGGAAAAAGAAAAGGGAATATCGAACCCCTGGTCCGTGTCATTTGATGCGGTGCCCTGGTGGTGTGGTTGTGTAGCAAGAACTTAAGGATGGAAAGATGGAAAGATGCAGTGGAAACAGCCTGAGGCCGAGGCCAGGCACTGAGCCTAAACAGGCAAGCCCGCTATTCCTGGTCAGGCAGTCCAGTGATCTGCGGGCGGGTGCAGTAACTACTCGTAAGTAGGTACTCCGTACCTAGGTACAGTAGGTACAGTACTGCTGACTTGGCCGGTGGGGATTCGCATTCAGACGGATCTTCCTCTTCTCTCCCCTTCTCTCACAGCTGCCACAACAATCGCCTCCCCTGAGGTGTTGGCCGTGCCTCTATCAGGTACCAGAGCACAGTGCAATGTGGCCTTCACTCATTGTCTCCCAACAGATCCCTCACAGCTGAATTCTCGATGATGATCTCAGATGATGACAGTGATGTGTTCTGCTCATGATCGATCGCCCTCTTCAGATGGCCCAAGTATACCGGGAGATACTCTGTGTACAGTACTCCGTACAGAGTGCCCTGATCAGGGAATGGGCCTGGCCATGAGTTATCGCATGCACCCACTTCACCACCCCCAGTTACAGTACACACAAATTCCCTATCCCATGTCGCCTCGAATTGACATGGGGCCCAGTCTCTAAAGACCCCCTCTCCATACAAAGAAATGCATCCAATCTATTGCCCCGTCCACGCAGTTGTTGGGCAGGAATTCACAACTGCTTCCACAGGCACTAATGCTAATGCCAGTACGAAGGTCGATATTGGCAGTGGTCGCAGTCAATCAATTTCCGAGTAACCGGAGTCATTCACGTCTTCTGCTATTCTTCGCCCTCGATTGCTTGCCTGCAACGACTTTATGTCGCCTTCATTGGCTGGTCATATCACTTAACCTGGCATCGATCCGTGTTCACCCTGCATCCTGAACTAAAGCTGCCGGGTTGACCCTATGCTTTGTTTTTCCCTTCTCCGCACGGAGAAACTCCCTTCCAACTGCATCAACTTGCAGTTCTGCTTTGATGATCGACCTCAAATGATCATCAACTAAGCGGGTGAGAGAGCAAAGACAAGGCAAAAAGAATCAAGGAAAACGAAAAGGTAAAGAGTTAACCAGGCTCGGGAACAACAACAATCAGAGGGTCCCGATGGAGCTGTGGCACCACCCCCACCACGCTAAGGACTCAACGAAGCACCACCCATCTCCCATCTCCCGACTGTCCAGCTTGCATTCTATCCGGACTGCACGGCGCACCCACTCCCCGCCACCACTACTGCGACTTTTGCAGATGGCAGCCCTCCGGCTTCCCCCCCTGCCCCAGTGATGGTTCCGGAAAAAGACCCTCTGTCGATGTCCCCGTCCGCCAGGGCCATTGGGCCCGTGAGACGTGGTCCAATCAGAAGAGATGCCGTTGGGCAGTTCGTTCATGACGTCCCCAGCCCCAAGCCCGAAAAGTATTGCTCAACAATGTTCTATACCACCGGGAAGTGGATTCGCTACGATACGTTGCCTCGCATTGAATCCAGAATGAAGCCCTCATCTCGTTGGCGTATCGGTACATTCGGGCCTTTGTCGCTTTGGTTACTCAACTCGCCCTTTCCAGGCCCTCTAACCTAATTCAACAGGGTTTGCTTTTGAGCCTTTGACCTGACATTTTACATAGTCCCCCCCTCCGTTTCACATCCTGTGCTTCTTGCATTGCCCCTATTTTTGGTGCTTCGTTCATTCGTCTCTTCCCCCCTTGTCCATTTTCGCCCTATCTAGAACCCGACGGGAGTATGTCATAGTTCTTCAATGAAAATTTATACCCCCCTCTCCCTCCCTCACAAAGTCAGCTGGAGTCTAACATAGCTCAGTAACACTCGCCACTGATCCGATGCAATGGGTAAGAAGAAGAATACCAACAACAAAAAGAAGAACAACAACAACAACAACAACAACAACAACAACAACAACAACAACAACAAGAACCGACTACCGATAAACGACAATCCAAATTCCAACGAGCAAGCTTCTTCCCTAGCTGAACCCGCCCCGGAGACGGTGGCCGAAGTGATTGGGAATGGAGCAACCATCGATCCAGTATGCTGAGCTTCCCAAGTTTGAGTACCATCAGACACTCGAGCGTCATTACCAGACCTTCGACCGTCAAACCATGCAATTTCATTATTATTCTGTTGCTGCTACCTCGTCCGATGATGGTCTGACCCCGGCTAAGGACCAGGAGAACAACAAACCCGTCGATGGCCAACCTTCCGACAGTGCTGCCCAGGAAGAAGGATCTGATAGCACCTCAACTGATGGTTCATCGTCGCCCGATTCTGGAGGTATGTATTGGCCTACCTTTGCCTCACCCTCTCTATCATGTCCCATCAATTGCTTTCTTGTTTTACTAAGTATCCATACAGAAACGTCTGAGACAAGCACACCACCTTCCGAGCCCGCCGAAATCGCTGCTGATGCTGTCGACGACACCGATGCGGCACCCAAAGAGGACAGTAAGACACCTGCTCCCGCGCCAGATGCACCCGCAACGGACGCGGACGATAGCACACCAGCAGGTGAAGACGCCACACCAGCCGATGACGCACCCAAAGAGGACGCACCCGAAGACGTAGAGCCAGAGCCCGCCGCCCCCGACGCAGCCGACAGTCCACCGGCACCAGCGGAGGAGACTACTGAGCCTCCCCCAAGCACTGGTATGCCTACAAAGAAGATCAGTTCACTAAGTCAGCTAACATTACACCTAGAGGAAGACTTTCCGGCCTGCGACCCCTCCGCCGAAGAAGACAAAGTCGAAGCCGAAAAGCAGGCGGTTGAAGCTACCACAGCGGAAGAAGAGACACCAGCAGTCGGTACAGAACACCTCATAGATCTGAACATTGACATTGTTGACTTCGACGCGACAACTGACCCCTATATAGACGGCCCATCGACAGAAGAGGTCCCGCCCGATACGAATGCTGATATTCCCGGTGACGACAATGCAGGTGCGAATGACAATAGTGATGCAATTAATGACACCTCAGCTACAGAAGCCAAACCGGAGGAGGAACCGAAGGTGGCCGAGGCTCAGTCAGAAGCTCCTGCTGACGGTGCCGAGCCTTCAACCACTGAGGCCGTTGTAGGGGAGGCTGCGGAGGAGGCAAAGGCCGAGCCCGTCAAGGAAGAAGCGCTAGAGGCCGCAGAGCAGGCAGGGGAGGGAGCGCCAGCAGAGACAAAAGAGGAGGTCACAGCAGATGCAGCTGCCGCCGAACCTGAGGGGGACGCTACAAAGGCAGAAGAATCTGCACCAGTTGAAGCGCCCGAAGAAGCAGGTCCCACTCCAGAAGAGACTGAGTCACCTGCAGCAACCCAAGAACCCGTGGCAGAGGCAGAGGCAGAGGCAGACCCCAGCCCCCCAGCTCCCACTGATGCGCCCGAAGAAGCTACTTCAGGAGAAGTTGTTGAGGAAAAGGGTACAGGCGAAGACATTGCCGAGGCCGAGGCACCTGCCGCAGAGACCGCGGCCGATGAACCTGCTGCTGATGCAACAAAAGATGCTCAGGATGAAGCACCAGCTACGCCAGAAGAGTCTACAGAAGTGACGGAAGCGGCAGTCGAAGAATCCACGGACGAAAAGCCGGCCGAGGAAACACCCGCGGAGGCAGAGGCGGCGGCCGAAGCTGCACCTGCGGAAGACCCTGCAGGTGAAGCTGCGTCGAAAGAGGAGCCTGCTGTTGAGGAGCCTGCAACAGCCGATGACGTGGCTGCCGAAGAAACGGCGCCTGCCGAAGATAAGGCTATTGTAGAAGAATCTGCTCCAGCTGAAGAGCCCGCTGCTGAGACTCCTGCTGCTGAAGAAGCTCCCACTGCTGAGGAACCGGCTGCGGCTGAAGAACCGACTGCTGCTCCAGAAGAAACTCCTGCCGAAGAAGCTGTTGCTAAGGAGGTTGTCGCTGAAGAACCAGCCGCCGAGAAAGCCCTTGCTGCTGAGGAAGCCCCTGCTGCTGAGGAAGCCCCTGCTGCTGAGGAAGCCCCTGCTGCTGAGGAAGCCCCTGCTGCTGAGGAAGCCCCCGCTGCTGAGGAAGCCCCCGCTGCTGAGGAAGCCCCCGCTGCTGAGGAAGCCCCCGCTGCTGAGGAAGCCCCCGCTGCTGAGGAAGCCCCCGCTGCTGAGGAAGCCCCCGCTGCTGAGGAAGCTCCCGCCGCTGAGGAACCAGCTGCTGCTGAAGCTGTCGCTAAGGAGATTGTCGCTGAGGAAGCTCCCGCCGTTGAAGAAGCCCCCGCCGCCGAAGAAACCCCTGCTGCCGAGGAGCCCGCACCGGAAGAACCTGCATCTGCGGATGAACCGATCGTCGTTGAGGAAGCTGTCGCTGAAGAAGTCGAGGCTGAAGAGGTCGAGGCTGAAGAGGTCGAAGCTGAAGAGGTCGAGGCTGAAGAGGTCGTGGTTGAGGAAGTTGTCGAGGAGGCCGTTATCGAGGAAGCTGCTGAAGAGCCTGCAGCAGAAACCGTCACTGAGGAACCTGCGGCTAGTGAAGAGCCCGCTCTAGAGAGATCTATTCCCGCCGACGAGCCCGCCACTCCCGAGGAGCCTGCTCTCGAAGATGCTACTCCCGTTGAAGAGCATGTCGAAGAGCCTACCGCCGTAGAGGAGCCCGCACCTGTTGAGGAGCCTGTCATTGTCGAGGTCAGTCCTGCAGAACATGTATCTGAGGAGCCAGCGCCTACAGAAGATTCTGCTCCTGAGGAACCTGCTGCTGAGGAACCTGCTGCTGAGGAACCTGCTCCTGCCGAAGAGCCGGCGGCGGAAGAAGTTGCGCCTGTCGAAGAGCCTGCACTTGCGCCCGCTGAAGAATCTGCATTTATCGAAGAACGTGCTCCTGCGGAACCCGATTTGGTCGAACGTTCTCCCTCTGAGCCTGAGCTTCTTGAGCGTTCTCCAGCCGAAGTACCTACTCCTGCTGAGGAGCCTGCTGCATATGAGCCTACCCCAGAAGAGCCAAGTGTCGACAGAGGGGTCCCCGAAGAGGCCCTGGCTACGGATGTGTCGGAGGATATTGACTCTGCCGACCACGATGGCGAAGCCTTGGCTGCAGCCGGTGCGGCAGCGGCAGGGGCAGGGTTAGCAGCAGCGGCCGCCCACAGTTCACGAAGGAAGAAGAAGAGGTCTCCCGACTTGGAGCGGGATCGAGACCGAGACCGCTCCAAGAGCTCATCCGAAGGACATCGATCAATGCAGCGGCAGAACAGTCAACGCGGTAGCGGTCTTACTGGTCGATGGGCGGAATCCATGAAGGAAGCCCGACGACAGCATGAAGAAAAGGCCAAACAGAAGGCAGCCTTGGCCGAGAGGGCCGAGAGGGCCGAAAAAGAGCGCCGTGCCCATGAACGCGAGCGTGCAAGACGCGCTGAACGAGAACGGGCTGAACGGCCTGAGAGATCTGAGCGCGTTGAACGACATGAACGACATGAGCGGACTTTACGTACTGAGCAGCCTGAGCGAGCTGAAAGGCGCGAGAGAGCGGAACGAGCACAGCGACAGGAGCAAGCGGAGCGCGAACGGGCTTTGAGGGCTGAGAGAGTCGAGCGTCACGAGCGGTCTGAGCGATCGGAAAGAATGGAGCGTCGTATAAGCGAGCAAGACAGCAGCTCAAGCCGACCGCGACACCGCAGCTCAAACCACTCTGAGAGCTACGAGGGCGATCGCAAGAGCAGCTCCTCCTCCTCTCGCGTCATCCCAGAATCCACGACCACGAAGCCTCGCTTCTTCCTCAAATACATGGCCGATGGCTCCGACAACCGACCGCCTCTGATGGTCAACGCTGCCAAAGCGACCGCCAATGTTTACGACCGCTCGCGACGCCCCTCAACCACTCATTCCCACAGTCATCGATCCTCGCAGGAAGGCAAGAGCACGAGTGAGCGCTCCACCGAGTCCTCCCGCCGCGAAGACGAAGAGGATCGTGCTCGCCGCGAGGCTCGCCGGGCTCGCAAGCTGGCCGAACAGACCGAGGCGGCGGCGGCGGCGGCGGCACCGCCAGCGAAAGAAGAAACCGAGCGGCGTCATCATCGCGGCGAGCAGCGCGATAGCACCGAGTCGTCTCGCCATCGCCATCACAGACACCGCCGGGACCCCACGCCTCCTCCGAGCGGGGCTTCGAAGATGAAAGGCTTCTTCAAAGCCGCCATCGCTGCACACTGAGTGCATTGCTCTCTTCCCCTTCCCCCTCCCTCCTCCCCTTCCTCCATCGAGTTCATATTCCACGATGATCACCGACCGTCTCATATGTTCAACCCATGCATCTATACATTACTTTCTTGTAACTTTCCCCCCCATCTTTGATTGTTTTCTTTTGGGATTCATATATTTTGAGCCTGCATTTATAGGTACAGCATTTGGGAACGGGGCATCGTGACTTTTTGTGGTTAATTGTTTTTCATCTTCATGTCTCTTGTATGAGCGAGCTCCCCCCTTTTCGGGTTTCATCCACTCCGATTGTATCTCGATACTTCTACTTTCTACTTTCAGTTCCTCGTCTTTTTGTTAAGACACGTTACCTTGTAAATGTGTTTTCTTTTTTCTACCAAAAAAGCAACATTTATCCTTTGAGATCGTTTCAATTTACACTGAGGTTGAGACTCGTAACGGACTGTAGTTATAGATGTACAGTGATACACATTGAAGCCCCTGGTTGTACATACGCGACTACAAGATCGGAATCGCCAGCCCATCTCCCCTGAGATCACTTCCACCACTGTAGATCAGCTTTCCTTCATCATAGTGGCACCGGATGATCTGGCCCCGACCAAACATGCCCCTCTTCCAGCCGGCCAAGACCTTCACCTCGTGGCCCAGACACCTCAGGCCCTCGATCGCCGCCTCGGAGATGCCCTCCTCCACGTAGACCGCGCGGTCGACGCTCTTTCCGGGAATGTGCTCGCCCGCCGCGATACAGATGCGCGGGGAATCCAGCGCCGCCTGGGGGTGATAGCCGAAGGCGAGCATGTTGAGCAGCACCTGCACGTGGCCCTGCGGTTGCATAAACCCGCCCATCACGCCGTACACGGAATGCAGCGATCCGTCCGAGACGTTCGTGACCATGGCCGGGATGATGGTGTGGTAGGACCGCTTGCGCGGGGCCAGGACGTTCGGGTGGTCGGGGTTGAGCGAGAAGTTGGCCCCGCGGTTCTGGAGCGTGAACCCGCAGCCCTGGGGGATGATGCAGGTGCCGAAGCCGCCGTAGTTGCTGTTGATGAAGGAGATGCCGTTGCCCTCGCTGTCGGTGACGGAGAAGTAGACCGTGTCGCAGTGGTTGTGGGCCGGGCTGCCGTGGTCGATGATGTCGGAGGCCCGGTCCGGATTGAACAATTTGGCCCGCTCGGCGAGATAGGCCTTGGAGATGAGGTCCTGCGAGGGGATCTTGTTGGTGTCCGGGTCGGTGACCCACCAGGAGGCGTCGGCAAAGGCGATCCGGAGGGATTCGATGAGCGCATGAAGGTACTCGGCCGAGTTGTGTTGGGCTTCACTGAAGATGGGGATCTTGCCGGTACGTTCGAGCTCCTCGAGGATGCCCAGGGCCATGAGAGCGACTATGCCCTGGCCGTTCGGTGGGTGCTCCCAGATCTCGACGCCCTCATTGGTTTCGTCGGTGGTGCCGTCAGTCTGCTTGGAGACGATACCCTGTCCCGTGAATTTGAGGGAGATGGCCTCCGTCTCTTGGCTTCCAACCTCGGCGTGGTACTTCAGGTCGTCTAGTGTCATGTAGCCTCCCAGGTCCTGGACGACTTTGACGATCTCTGCGGCAATGCGACCCTCGTAGAAGCCCTTCTTGCCGTGAGCAGCTAGGGAGCGGAATGTTTGTGCGAGGGTTGGGTTGCGCAAGATCTCACCGGGCAGAGGGCTACGGCAGCCGTCTTTAGCCGTGGGGTCGGATTTGAGCATCTCTCTAAAGTTGGGAGAGGCAGCGCGAATTAAGTGCTCGCTTTCATGCCACTATTTAAAACGGTTAGTCCCATCGGTGCTAGACCAGACAGCGGGTTGAGCGTATCTCAGAACGTCTCTCGAAGCCGAAATTGCCAAATATGGAGTGACTTACGAAATAAGAGGCCAATTCAGACACAGGGAATCCCTCTTCGCCCAGTTCAATTGCGGGACGCAAAACATCCTCCAAAGTCAACTTCCCACTCCCGAACTTCTCGAATGTGTCCACCCACCCTGCAGCAGCTCCAGGGGTTGTGGCTGCAAGGACACTATCCATGGGAATTTTCCCCGACTCGCCGGGACCTAATTTGAGATCCTCCCGCACCTTTTCCAACGTCGCGCTGCCAGGGTATCTGCCGGAGCCGTTGATAGAATGGACCTTCTTTGTCTTGGCATCGTAGTAGAGGCAGAACATGTCCCCTCCAATGCCCGTGGAAGAGGGTTCAGTTATGTTCAATGCAGCGGCTGTGACCAGTTGACTATGTTAGTATTCGCTTGAGAACGAAGTCGTCGACATTCAATGACTGACCTACGGCAATTGCGGCGTCCTGTCTAGAGGATTAGCAGGGGCATGTCTGTTAGAGTTTGCGATGACGAGGACATACAGCAGCGTTGCCGCCATTGCTGAGGATTTTCTGACCTGCAGCTGCAGCTAGAGGTTGCGTGCAAGTCACAATGCCTTTGGTACTATGTACAGTACTTCGTCGACTGGCAAAAGGGGCAAAGTCGGCGTTGAGACGAGAATAGATGGCTTTAGAATTGAGTGGCATTGTGGAGGCGGGGGATCGTTGATTCAATTGAGAGAGCGGGGTGAGGAAGGGCGGCAGTCGGCTTTGGAGAGGCAGGCGAGGAAAACAAGCGAAGTTATACGGAGGAAAGGAAGAATGGAGAAGCTAGCGGAAGCGATATGACTCCAATATTGGTTGAAGGGCTATTGGTAGATAGGCCCGGCCGAGGATAAGAAGAAAGCGCGACGACGACGATAACTAAAGTTACCCCACTACTGAGTGAGGGGGAATCTCCAACTGTTGCCGGAGGGCGATGGCGTTATCTTATCGGAGGACATCCTGCTGGTTAGAGTTGGAGTTGGAGTGTAACTTAGCTGGGAGTGTGGTGAGTGGCTTGCAACAGCCATGACTCTTTAATACTCCGACAGTTTGTAGTACAGATGCAGTGGTGCAGTGGTGCAGTGGTGCAAAGGTGGAGTTATCATGGATGAGCATCACAGAGAGATTATTTGTCTTGTCTGCAAACAACTGTAGTCTCACGTGATGCCGCATGACCTTCCCGAATGGGTTGTCAGTCGGTCGGGGAGGCAGCGATGATAAGATGGAAAGCGCGAGGAGGATCTGATATGATCGCATCCAATTTCATCTCCGTTGCTCTACCCTGACCCTCTTCTCTCCTCTTTCTTTTCCTTAGACGTTTCATAAAAACACTCACTCTCTTTGCGGTTGGCATCCCCATCAGACCCAGGAAAAAAGAAAAGAAAAGAACCGCCACGGCTTCTGGATCGCCGAGACGAACCACTTCTACTATTCAACTATTGCCCAGCTCGTGCTGGCCCCGCGCCGAAGAACGGAGCTGGATCTTTCCCAGCCGTGTCATTCCACTCCCAACATTTATGGATCTCAGAAAATCCCTTTTTAGCTATAACTAGATCGCTCTATCTTTGCCAGAAGCAAAGAGTCTACGTATACTTAGCTAACCGGCTGCTCACTGTGCGAATTCTTGTCCGGTGAATAATAGAGCTTGAGCCGTGTGGATCCCCCGCCTCCTTAACCATCCGTTCCTCTGCCGTCATTGTCACAATGGTGGTCTTCGTTGACTACGATCACGACGCGTTCAACAGGCATACTTTCCCTGGCGTCCCCGATACACTCCTGCATCCTTCCTTAGAACCTCAAAAGCCCACCTTGTCCAAGTTGCTGGCAGTCGGTCCGGATCCATCGACGAACGTGCCTGCGGCTCATGATCAGTCCGCCGCTCCGTCACAGTATCATACAGTCAACCATGAAGATCAACAGCATGCTCTCAACCGGAACGCTTTTTCGGCCGCTCTTAGCTGCTATCCGTATGGAATACTCTTGGGCCAGGCTACTGAAGTGTCTGGTTCCTGATGTTGTGCTGACTCACCATCCAGGATCATAAAGGAAATTGCTCGAGCAGTCGACCTGAACACCTTGCATGCCCTCTCCCAGACCTGCCGCCAGTTCCACGCAAATCTGGCCCCATACCGCTCGCTGTTGATCAAACAGACTTTACGCTGCGAGAATGAGTACATCGAGACCGTATCGGACATGCTCGACAGCGGAGCAGCAATTCCCGATAGCGTCAAGTCTGTGCTGCAAATATTGAGTCAGAACGCAAGAGCATCGGGCCGAATAACCACTGGCAAGGTTGCCAAATGCGCTCGAGATATGGTTGCTGAGTGTCGTCGATGCTCTAAAGTGGTGTGCCGGGTATGCTCAGGCCTTCCCGTCTCCAAGTTGAACATTGACGGACTAACGTTAGCTCGCTGCAGAATTGCACCATTAAGCCTCCCTCGAGCAGCATGTATAAGAACCGCATTCGCCGTCTCTGCACAACCTGCCAGACAGCCCCGTTAACTGACTTGATTGATCCATTGTCTCCTTCGTCTCAGTCTGCCATGGCTCACGAATCATCAGCACTAAACCCAACGCCAACGTCCATTGCGTTTCAACGGACTCCATGCAATTGTTATGAAGCGATCTGGCTCTGCCATCAATGTGGTCACCGTGTCCGCAGCAATGACACCACCTACCGTCGCGTCTGGACCTGGCGTACACGTTACAGCACCTATCTTGGTGGTCTAGGCACAGGGATCGGCGAGGGCTGTCAGGGTGTCAAGTGCGGCCGAGGGGAACAATGCCTTGCAGCCAAAGAGATTGAGCTCGAGGTTGAATGCGAAGCGGACGAGGCGTCCGGGGGTAGCTCGCCGGATTACAGTCATTACTATGAGCATCGGAATCATGCGCATAGTCCTCCCAGACACACCACCATCGAAAGCTGGGACCACCGCGAGGGGGACGAACCCGGGTATTTCCGGCAGGAGATTATCGGGATCGGAGGGAGGGTGAAGCAGAAGGCGAAGAAGAGAATTATAGTAGGAGCTTGTGTGGCGGAGCATGAAGATGAGAGGGAAACAGGAGAGTATCTCACTAGGGAGGAGAAGGGAGAACATCGTAGTTGGTGCGGCTGGTGTTGGAGAGTCATCCTTGCGAAAGGGGAGATTCATTAGTCCTAAGATCTGGAGTAGCTGAGGGGGGGGGGGGGGAATTGTTGGCACAAGTATATCAGTAGGTAGATCGAGTTGGAATTCCACTTCCCAGATGTAGCACACACGTGTCTGCCGCTTAGCCTTCATTCGGTGAGCAGAGCCCGAACCACGTTTTGCTACATGCTTCATGCAAAGCTACCGCGTCCTCGTTTTACAAGTCTAGATCTCCCCCCACTGAATCTCTACACCAATGAAGCCTGAGTCAAAGATAGACTGAGGAATGGTTCTTAATCGCCATATCTTAGAGAAATCCACTACTTTACGAACAAGAATATGGTGACTATTCTACTAAGCCTGCACAGCCAAGCACACCGTCTGCTGCAAGTTTGAGCCCAGCCAGGACATATCGCTACAGTCACAAACCCCCTCCCCAGAAGTGACCATACAGTCTATCAGCTTACTCGCATCGACGAACAGTGATCAAACTCGGCAAACACTGCTTACCAAGAATCTCGATTATACTCTAAGCAAAGCAATGTGAAGAAAAGCAATGAGAGATATATGTACGATTCCAGATAGGAAAGTCTATAGCTAGATATACAGAGTATTTGTACAGACCGGAGAGAAACAGTTGTCGATGAACAACAGCGAAGCAGAATCAAAGCAGACAAAACAATGCATGTACCAAAAAAAAGAAATGCCTGGTCAGGCCCCTAGACCAGAGAGACCCAAACAAATTTCCGAGAGAGAAGAACATCGAACACCGCCGCGCATGTAGACTTGATATAGCATAACTCAATAAGGCGTCAGAGAAAAACATTGATCGACATAGGAAATAGATCGGGAAACAGATTGCGGGTCACAAAGTAAAAAATCAAGTTCCTTGCACAAAAATGGGTATATAGAGAAGTGGTAAATAAGAAGAAGAGAAAAAAAAACCATGCATGAGAAAATGGAAATTGAGACAAAGGAGATGCTGTGCAGTAACTTTATAAGCCGACGCGAGTCTAATAAAGGCAGCTCTGATGGTAGGTGGGTGGAGAAGGAGACAGGGTAGCTCCTTCCCGAGTTCGGAGGGTGGGGTGTAGTATTTTGTGTAATCCTCTCTCCGACGAAAGAAACTTTTGGAAGCCTTTGCAGGATGGATGTTTCGAAATTGATGGGGTGGATGTTGCTTTTTCCTGTTCCCTCTTTATTTTGAGGTGGTTTTCTGTTTTGCGCGTTCTGTTTTCCCAATTCGAATTGTAAGATTAGCCGCGTCCGCTGCGTCGATTGCGTATTAGACATTTCGATTATAAGCTGAATCGATCTTCCCCTCCAAAGCATGGCTGATAAGCCCCTACTTATTGAGGATCCGGCGAGGATGAGGTCTAATGGATCGTGGTCGTTACTTCGTGCTTCTCGTGCGCGCTTTCACATCGTCCATGACTTCCAGCCCATGTTGGCGGGAAAGGCGGCGGGTGGTAGCACATGCTCGTCATAACCCAGGCTATGTGTTGACCAGCTCGGCGAGGAGTAGGCGCATTGAAGGGACTGTCAGGCCGGTGTTAGTCGGAAAGGTTTCGAAGTAAAGCTTGATACAACGTACTGGTTGAAGAAGACCTTCGGTGAGGGGCATGGGCATCATGCTCATGGATGGCAGGCTGATGTCCTGCTGGTCCCAGCAGCCCATCCGCGATTGCATGGAAATAGGCGATGATGTCAAGTCGTGCTCAATAATGCTCTCGGGGTAGGGTTCGACTGTGGTCATAGGCGTGGACACCACGGAAGATCGAGCGTAAGAGTGAACTGAGAGCGAGCCATCCGAGACGGGAGAGGGGCATGTGTCCGGGGTAGCGTAGAAGCGACTGTCCTCGATCGACTCGTGAATGTGAGGGCCCTGGTACAACGGGGTGTGGGGTGCCGACTGCAAATCAACTCCATTCCACATCAAGTTGCAATCGCTGGCGAAATTGGGGTGGATAGCCGGCCCGACGAGCGATCCTACGGACATGGCATTCTGGGGCTGGGAGACGGTGAGATAGGGAGTCGGGTGGGCGTTGACGGGTGCACACTTGGGCACATAGGCCTCGGGCATTACAGAGGTGCGGTTCTGACGCTGCCATTGTGCGGTGTGGTCCATCTGGGCCTCGAGCTCACTGGGGGTTTTGCATTAGCGGCCAGGCAGTGACATTTAGCATGGAAGGTCACTCACTGTCTTTCCATGTGGCGGGAAAGCAAGTCGGGACGGTGGAATGCTTTCTTGCAGTTGAGGTGGGCGCATCGAAACAGTGCCTCGGGGTTGTGGTTCAACTCATGCCGTCTACACAAAGCAAATTAGCACGTGAAAGAGTCGAACCGGGTACATTGCCATCAAGTACCTTCTATGCTCTGCTCTGGTGAAAACCTTGAATTTGAATGTTAGTCGAGAATTCTATATTGACTGAAAATTCATGTCTACTGACTTTGTTGCACCCTGGATACTCGCAGGCGTGAACGCGTTTGCCCTTCTTCGCTTTGCTAATGCGATGCGTCGTTGGGGTGTATGTGATGGGGAGAGGAATCTCCGATTGGGCAGTGCTTCGGCGCATGGTGACTGTATGTTGCTGGCCAGCAATTGATGTTGTAGTATGAGTGATAGAAGAAGAGTTGGTAGGAAGTGGTTGTTCCTGTTGCTGTTGGTGTTTGAGATGTGTAGGAGTAATTGACTTTATAGAGTCGTGTGGAGAGGTGAGGATAGACAGGAAATCTGCCGGCGACTGGGTCGAAGATATAGTTCTGGTTCCTGAAGGAGATGATCCCCTGGTCATTCTGTAACAGACCCAGACTTGTCAGGAACGGGAGGTGAGCTATGGGTGTGGAGATTGGGGGTCGTGAGCAAGGTGGGCTGTGATGCAGCTATACTAGCAAAATTGGGGAACGGGCCAGAAGCATGGGTGAGTGAGATCAGGAGCTGATTGATTTGATGTAGATGATTATGATGATGATGATGATGACGGGAAAATGCCTCGCATCTGCAAATCAAGAGGGAGGCAGTGAGATGCGGAATTAGAAAAAGAAAAGTGAAGATCTGAAACGAACTGGTATGGAGAACGAGGAGAAGGAAGGCTTAGAAGAGGGCCGGGAGAAGGGTAGTGAGAATAGTTACATGCAGAGAGATGATGGAGATATAGAAGATTCTCCCAATGCGGCTAAGTCTACCTCTCACCTACCACATACGGTACCGAAAGATCGCCGGGTAACTTGGGGGAGAGGGGAGGGAAAGACAGTTCGGAAAATAAAAGAATAATTCAAATTTAGAAAAAAAAAAAAAAAAATAAGATATTTGATGGGAATAAAAAAAGAATCAGAATTAATAAAAAAAATCAAAGTAATATGTGTATACATCCCAAAAATCCAGACCCAAAACGATCGAGAATAATACGAAAATGCGGATTTTCACGAGAATATTTGACCAATGTAACCAGCATCAATGGCTAGTCCCGAGTAGTCAGAGGTAAGCGAGCAGAAAAGCAGTTCTTGATGATCATTCTCTGCAGGGTGATCATACTGGGTTAGCCACCATGGCTATGTTGGCTTGCTGGGGACAGCACGAGTGGGTAACCACTTTCGGCGGGATCGACCCATCCTCATTTTCCAAAGTCAAAAGGATCAGATCAATTCCCTAATTTCAATCGAAATACACATGATTAACGGTGCGGGAGACGGGGAAGGAAGGATTGAAACGGGCGACGGGCGATAAGAAAGTGGACTCGATACGACAAGTAGTACATAAATTGAAATGGAGATATCAACTCCAAGAGAAAAGGAGAGACAGAATAATGGGACTGGGGGAGAAAGGCAATGTACTGGACAATACGGAGAATAATCAACATCACTGCAGAGAGTTAAGAAAAAAAAAAAAGGAACTACTGAATAGTTGACAAATAATATGTATTGTCTCATCTGCCGTTAGTTAGTCATGACAACAACAGCAGCAAATTGCAGCCGGTAACAGACCAACACCTTCCAAGTCTGCGGCTGAGGCGCACTGCAGGGATTGGGAGAGAAGAGAAGACGAGGATAGGGAGGAAAAAAGGAAAGGGGGAACAAATAGACCATGCCATCATGAGATAGATTACGATGCCGGTATGCAGCTCGTACCACACACCCACCACCGCCCGGTTCACAGCGCTTCAGTCAATCAATCACTTGGTGGAAGTTGCACCTGTTGGCTCGTCCCCATCTCCCTCCATTGTCATCACCATCCTCATCGTCTCCCGCCGCCACGAGGCGACGGGGAGGAGAGAGGGGAGGGGGGAAAGTGGGGGGGAGGTGAGGATCCAGGGAAAAACAGACCTTCCGATCGAGAATTGTCTGGATGGATCATGGATGGATGGGCCAATCTATCTCCCGGAAGAGGAAGGATATAGTTCACAGAATAATATTCCTACTCGCAGAATGCGGGCAATAGGATAATAAAAGACATATTAAACATCAATCAATATGAACTTCAAGCCATCTATCCACCCACCCCTCATGCCATACAGGACTTCGGATTGATTAACCGGGCCTCATGTCTTTGCTGCCAACCCACGCGGCTCTGCGCCTGTGTGTCTACCTCTAGATCGAAAGGTACAATACAGTAAGTACTAAGTACAGTACTAATTCTATGCAGAGAACTGCAATGCTGAATAATGGGTGGTTTAGGGCTTACGACCATGTGAATGTCTCGCGCGTGACAGGGGTTTTCAGCGGATCAAACTGATCTTAGCGGCTAGGAGAGGTCAGGATATCGACGATAAGGAGCAAAATTCTTGCAAGATCAATGGAGGAGGAGGGGGGGGAGGGGCGTTAGGTGGTGGTTGTTAGGAGAGTGGGAGTTGAAGAAGAGACAGTCACAGAAATCGAATCAACAGTTAGGAAGAATGTTGGGGATTTGAGTCTTCTCATTGGTGTGCTCGCGTGAACTAGTGTTAAGCGCCTCTTAGGTACAGTACTTTTACTGTCATGGCTGAGGTTGGGGAGGGGGTGAGAAGAGATATCTCCACTTTTACCCCCCCTCTGCTTAGCGTGCTGAATGGGAAACGACTCATGGAGGCTCTCGCTCATTGTCCGGCCCTCCCCGTAGCAATCAGGTTCAGGCTTTCCGTCCAAGCCTCAGGGGCTCCACCATGAAGACTGGAGAATGGAGATTGCTATCCGCCCTAGGCTAAATGACTGAGGGTGCCAGGATGGTCGATTAGACTAGACGACTCCATAGTAGAGCTAAGGTCAAGACTCAAAAGGCCTAGAAACGTAGGTAAACAGAAGCTCCACGGACCACTCCAGCCAAGATGGATCCCCCCATCCCGAGCCAACTGGAACCAATTGAACCAAGTGGAGCCACTACCTGAATATCCACTCACCTCTTTTGGGAGTTTATATCCAGTCACTGCAATTAAGCGGCTCTAGCATTCGCCCACTGGCCTGCTTTCCATTCAGACTGCGATTGGCCGAGAAGGCCTGGGTAAAGGGCTTGCATGGCTACATGAATCAACTACGCACTGTAGAATACTCTGGTTCTTTCAAGCAATCCCATTGCTGACCATAGAAATTGCGGCATCGTGTTAAAGAAACAGGTTGACCATGGTTATTTACAGTACCAGAAGAGCCTCCAGACTGCCAGTGGCGGCCTGCGGGTCCCTCTTGATTGCTTCTTACTGGCGTAGGGTCGGATTAGCCCGCTAGTCGTCCAAGCAAAACTCAGGGTTTACCGCTGTCATAGCATAGGCGGTCGTTGGCTTGAGTCAAGATGTCCTCTTCTGGGTTAATGAGGTTAATGGATTTGTCCGCCATAAGACCATATCAAGTAAAAGAAAAATCCTTGACGACACTTGGCACCGTTGAATGTGTCATGATTGCAAGGGCTGCGAAGGAGCGATGGAGAACCACCCGTTCGGGCATATAGAAACATTCATTATAGAGGGATCAGGCAAGGGAGAAAGACCAGCTGAGGTCACACAACCACGTGTAGGACGATCGGCGTGTTTCTGTCGGTTACCTTATATTGCTGCCCGTTATGAAAGTATTATCTGCCAAGCAAGATTTCCTGGTCTCTGTTAAGGGGGAGGGGGGCACGACCACACACGCCTTCGTCACGTCCTGTGATTTGATGAAACCTGTGGTCAGAGCCCTTATCGGGGCCTGCAGACAACGGGAGGAAGACTTAGCAACTGGAGTCTGAAGAATCATTGTTACGGCGGCGATAATTACCATACAAGCTGGACGCCTGACGAAGAATAGAGTTCCTTAGACTGCTCCCTGAAAATAAATAGGATATTCGGTCTGGAAGTACTGCAAATCGACCAAGGTGGTCTGTGTGAACTGATTCAGTTTCAATATCATCACGCAGCAGAGACCCTGGGTGGTAATGACTCGATACAGGAAATCGTATAAAAGTCAGCAGCCCCATCTTAGTCTGATTCTGTTTCTAGGGGGTCAGGGTATGTGAGAATTCGGAATGTCAATCGTTCGACGCTTCGATACTTGGAGACTACCACGGCAAGCACTTCATAACAATGTGGCAGGCACATTCATGCACAGTTACACCGGAGGTAGGTGGCTTAGTAGCGTCGAAGTATACAATGACATCTAGCGTGGCGACAAGGGCGTCCAGCCCTGTAGCCAGTGGGGCATGCTTGTAGGCTCATCACCATCCCTTTCCTTTTCCCCTCAAGGAAATGATGCGCTCAACGTGAGCATAGACAGCAACCCCTGCCACCCTCTGGTCTTTGTGAATCCAACTGACCTTCTAGCTTGTTTCATAGTGAAAATCGACTGCACGCACCTCGTACCGCCCGATTGAGCCTTGTGCTTCCAGAACAATGTGCTTACTCTTGGTTGCTGTACGCCTCAGGCTAAATGATTAGTCGACGACAAGGTGCATTTTCTTCCCTGACCAACGACAATCCGGGTCAGATAACAAGCACAAAGCACCACGAACGAATGATTGAAACAATGATTATCAGCGGTGACACCAGAGATTCGGTACTAGACCTGAAACGACGGGGATCGATCTTCCGGGAAGCGGGGAAGGCATGAGAATCACTAAGGAATTATCGAAAAATACGGATCCCTATGTTCCTGGCGACCGTGTTGGTAAGGACCCGTCAATGGTACGATAGTACTCCGTCGTTGCTATGCGGCTGCCACACTACATTGCTCCATAGTAAGCACCAGTCGGCCAACCAACTTACCAAGTTATCCATAATTGGCGGCGGGAATGTCATGTCCCAGCAAAGACGGGATTCAATGGTGGTGGTGCTGCTGCTGCTGCTGCTGCTGCTCAATGAGAGCCGCTGTTGTTTCCGAGATTGACTCGATCTTACAGTAGACTGCATTAGTTCGGAATTGGGAAGAAAAATCACCCTGGGTAGAGAGAGTACTCGGTACGTGGTTGACAAATACGTCGCATGAAAACGGAGAATGTAGCTAACCGATCAAGGAAGCGGCTTAGCTACCTAGCACCTAGTAGAAACCTGATTCAATGGGAGAGTGCCTCAGGCCCCGGAAATTGGGGGAACCGAGTGCATGGGTATGACACCATCATCCAGCCATTTCATCACTGCTCCAAGAGATAATAGGTAATCTTTCTGTCCGCGCTAGAAAGTCTTCTTCACGTGGCGGGGACCCCATGCCGGGATCACGATCCTTCAAGGCGTGGCAATGGGGCCCAGGAGAGGGGAATTACACCAGTGAGGAGGAGTTAAAAGACGCTAGGTATTATTGTGTCTGTCTGGATGTAGTCATAGGTATGCCCTCCTTTTCTACTTCTCTTCTTGTCGCCTTCTCCCGGGTTTCCAACTAATGCATCCCGTGTTTAGAAGTCTGACTTTGGGGCTGCGCAGCCCGGGTTCCTACACCACAGCTGCAAAGTAAGATGGTTGACGGTAGAGTATGTCTTGTGCTGTCCATGCAGCGAAGGTGCCAAGAAGTCGAAGCAGGCTTGACACTAATTATAACCATAGGCATAGGGCATCGTGCTCACTGGGCGGCACATCCCGGTCCTGTGCGGCACAAAAAGGTAGCGGTGGTCAGCAACAACGTGGCCTTCCTGTGGGGAAACAAGGAGGGACAAGAACGACTGGCCTAGGTGTAGAGGAGGGTTGCATCGGAATTCAAAGGTAATCAAAGTATGATTAAAAGGTCTCAGAACCCACCTAATTAACTTGACTGCAGAGGGTCAGTATTACGGCCGAGTTTCTCCTAGCCTTTAATGCTTCATTCCTCAATAAAGACCTGCCTCGTAATTTGGCGATACATCGTTTGCTAATTTCATGGATTGGATTGATTGATTAGCTTACTCCGTAGGTGGTAAGAATAATGGTGCAGACGGGTACGTATTATTGACTCGGAGGCCACGGCCGAGCTGGACGTCAGTGGGTGTTACCGGACTAACCACATTCTGTCCTTAGAACTCCACGTACTAAGCGGTAATCTCCTTCCCCCCTTCCACCGATTGATCGAGGCCCTGTCATGGGCGGGCAGTCATGGCACTGTCATGTGCCTTTCTGTTGACTACACTCAACCAGGCAATAGATTGGTTGCTCACGGCCCTAGTCCCAGGCTAAACCGGCCCGGAACGTTGTGGTGTAATCCAAACGCCGCGGGCAACACCTCACTTTGTTCACTAACACCAACACTGACAGTCTAACCCCCTTTCGCGAGTCATTCCTTTTGCAGAAGTCCTAGCGAGAACATTGACTGGCCAATCGTTGCAGACACTGAAACCGTGAGACTGTAAGACAACTGGAACTCCCTTGCACACGTGCAACCTGCAAGCCATTGTTGGACTAACTTACAACTTACTACTCAGGGCATCTCGATATATTTCTGCCTAATCAGGAACACTTCTCGAGCACCTTGGACCGTGGACCGTGGACCTGCAGTGGTGGACTTGAGTTGCTCAGTTAGTTACTAGCTACTAAGTTAGTTAGTAGCTACAGCCTGGAGCCTACTGGGGCCTGGAGAATAAGGAAAATAGGAAAATGGATCGGAGGCTCGGCAGGGCAGTGGGCTCCGTCAGCGGCGGGGGTCCTCGTACCGCCGGAGCCAGAAACTGCCCCGGTATCCGCCATGCCCGTGGCCTTGTTGTCTGTTAACTTTCTTAGCATCGCCATGTTGTTCAGACGACAGAGTCCATGGAAGTCCACAAAAAGATGGGACTGTCTAAGGAGGCTCCTGGAGGATTTACAGTTTGGAGCCCTTAGCCGACTGCAAAATGATCCTGTTCCATTGTTGACCTACTTCTTCAGGTACGGCTGGATCCGCAGGAGGGAAGGATTTTGAAACTGTATATACAGTACATGTGTACCTGCCTCGAAGGATCTAAACGGGGATTCAGTGTCAAAAGGAACTCTTCTTTGGAAATATGGTTATTGACGTAGGGTGAGAACAAAAACGTGGTGATCAGCAGCAATCTCGGGGGCTGATCCTGCAGGTGCCTGACCTTCAGGTGGCATGACAAGCGAACGGACGAACGACCTGGGCCTTTTCTCTCTTCAGTTCTGACCTCATGTCACCCTTCGAGGGCAATCTGCAATCCTGAAACACACCCTTGGGGGTCATCGACTCTGGTTCCGGGAGATCGCAAAAAGGCTTATCGGACAGACCAGACAGATCAAGCGAGTCTGCCTTGCCTCAGGCTGTCTCTTGTCTTCTTAGGTAATCCTAACCCCCCCAGCCCCTTAGGTTCCTGTTTGTTTGTTTGTTTGCTTCTCTGTCTACTCCGTACAGTCTGTCTCTCTGTCGTCATAGAGCGTCAGACCCCATGTATTCTTTTTACTCTTCACTCTTACCGTACATCTCTTCACTTAGCTTCATGCAAGAGAAACACGGATTACTCGGGCTACCTTGTCGGCTAATTAGCAAAGGTGGCTTTCTTCATTACGCCGCAATACAGTTCTCGAGGTTTTCCAACTTGGATGGCGGCGGAAAAAGAGGCTCAGAATCCCAGAGCCCCCCCCTAAGAGACGGTCCGATCGAGAGTGAGCATCGTCGATCTCTATCCCCGTTGATTTCTTGTCTTCATTCACATTTCTTCTTCGTCTATCTACAGTGGGGGGGTTCTAAGGCGTGAGCATGCCGAGTCTTGCTGCTGCCCTTTGGGAATGTGGATCCCCACCGCCAATGCCGCACTGTCTGGACATGAGGACGGAATTGACCCGCTAGGCATGCTATTGCGAAGTGAGTTCGACACACCCACTAAGGACCAGGGCTGCAGCTAACACTCTAAGTCACTCACACTAGTGACTAGGTCGATGGAACACCAAGCGTATGCTGAGGGTAGCTAAGCGCTACTGCCGAATAGCAATTTCGGGACGGGGAGGCAGTCCTAAACTCCCCCTACCTTCAGCTAACTTACGTGCTAGTCAAGTTCAGACCTCACTGTCAGGCCCCCTCGACTGCATGGTAGTCTAATAAGCGACAGTTGGTACCAACCTCCTCAAGTCCTAGCAATTTAGACTACCCCACTGCCAAGCCATCCAGTTGAGTTCGTCCAGTTTGGCCTGCATGATTGACCGTCCCGCGGGTCCGCAACTTTGACGAGCCTCTTACGTCTGAACGAAACCCATACTACAGAGTAGTGAGGGTCCACTCGACTGATTGTTGGATAAGAATAGCTAGGTAGCCATGTCAACGTTATACGAGCAGACAAATCATGCTTTGGCATTGCGATGGTAAGAAAGGTCGACTACGAACCAGGCACGGTAATAGTCGGTCACACCCGAGCCCGTCTGTGATCGACACCTCGAATGTCCAGGCGCTCGCTCAGACACATCTTCTTCCACTTTCAGGCCGCTCTGCACGGTAGACCTACCCCATTTTGACGGGCGGTCTTCCCCGCTGGCGGTTGTATCTACTCCAGTGACAAGCTTAACACCATTAAGCTGGTATACTTCGTGAGTAAATCATCTTCTCGTATAGGGCTCGGTTTCCTTAGGGGCCGGCCGTACATCGTCTTTTCATGGCTTTCTGTGTCCTCAGTATAGTATATCTCGCCAAATCACGTTGTGCTTTGTCCACCACTAATTCTGTAGGAACGATCTCTCGAGGCTTACTATGAGCCCCAATTCGGAAAATGTTCCTGCCCCTGTCAGCAACCCTCTTCCAACACGAGGGGGATATTTTGTGATAACATTGCCCGGTTGCCGGGATAAGACGATCGGCTGGACGAGCTTGGTTCTTGTTCGTGTCATTGGTCAGGGAATGAGATTCCATACTGCTTCGAACATTCTACAAGCAAATCTGCATATTACACGGGGCACTGCTCGGCACCAAGTACGTCCTCCTGCAGCTGGTAGCTTATGAGCTACTGCACCGCTCGCATCTACTATGTACTATACATATCAAATGCCTTAGGCCCACGAGGCCTACTATTTTCGCCCCCATGGCAGGGGTGCCATGCGCTTCAGCACGGCCACATGGCCTTGACTCTTGCTGCGGTCTCTGTTTCTGACAACAATCGGTATCGGTCCGGTCCCACCTTGGTCGTTTGTTCTTAACCGGCTGGTGCTCTGACATCAACGGCGTGTTCAACGATCGGTTTGCACTAAGCATGTCGTCTGGTTCTCCATTAAGCTGTCTCCAAGCCACGCTGCTAGCAGGCAGTGGCCCCGTCGGATGAGGAACCATCCCGCTTCTGCCATACTTCTGCACCGCCATGATTGCAATTATTGCTTGCTACCAGGGACAATTCCGCCCCTCTGACGGTTACATTGGTCCTAGCATGATTGTCCCGGTCAAAAGCCCTAAAGTCGAACTACTACCAATTATAGAATAAGCTGGAGGCTGGCGAGCTGATTCGCCGACCCTCCCTCTCGTACCTTGCCGTCCGCATGCTGCCGGGAGTATGAAGAGAGTTTCATCCTGCCCGCGCGTGTACAGGGCACTTCTCGGATTCTGGGGGCGATCCTACAATGCTTCTAAACTCTGAGATGTGGATACCTCAGCCATGACGGCTGCGGAGCTCTGCCACCACCAGGCTTTCTCGTTCTCATCTACACAGCTCAGAGATATTCGCGAGGTAACATGCCACACGGTTTAGATCGAATATTTACACGAGATTGTCAGCGAAGTTGCTCCTAGCGCCAGTAAGGCCAACCATGCCACTGTCTAATATGAGACATCTTCTAACTCAGGCATAGTGATATCAGAAATGTTTCCAATCAGAAATGCATATAAGGCAAGCGACAATAAGACGATAGCCACCAACGCGGACTTCCGCAAACCAACGTGTTGGTGCGGCATTCGCCGCTCAACTGTGCGGACCTGCTACGAGCGCAATTTCAGGCACGACTATACCAAGAGAGGTATTGTTCTAGACGTTTCGCGCATCCTGCTTAAGCGTATGAGGTGCTTGAATTGTGATAGTGCCTCTCACCTGCATGATTCCTGCGATCTGCTGACCAGCCACAGGTGGCTCCCACTGTTGGGTCCGGGAACGCGCCTTCACCCTGGCTGCAGAAGGATATCTGAGACAGGTACCATGATCAAACAATGGGCGGATGAAACCTAGTGTTTCTGACAGACTTAATCCTGAAACTCCTCCCATTTGATCATCCTATCCCTCAAGTCGAGCTCCTCACCATCCACCACAAACCTCCCGTCCCCACGATGGTGCACCATCCTCATCTGCCTCTTCCCGCCACCAACAGCACCGCTGGGCTCCTCTAGTTGCTGATTGCTCTGCCCATAGTTCAAGTCGAGGTCTCTGTTCACCCATGCGCGGACAACCCGCAGTATCCACAAGTTGTACGTTGCCACCAACGCTCGATCATGAACCACACATTGGATGTTGGCCATGATATCCTTCCCACCAACCAGTGGCGCACGGGCAGTCCTTTCCAGCTCCATGTAACTCTGCCCCTTTTCTTCTCCATCTTCTAGTTCTGGATCGGTCTCTGGCGGTAACGGCGATTCCGGTGGCTCCACAGGGATCATTTCGAATGCATCCCACTTATCCACCGTTTCGCCACTGCAATTGCCAATATCAACCACTTGCTCCAGCAGCTCCGCAGCCGGTACTGCAAGCACGCATTGGCCGGTTCTTTTCAGGTTGTCAAAGCTTTTGTCCCACGGTCCAATACATGCGCCGACCAGTGTTGGTTCCTCGTGTTGGATCATCATGTGAAAGCCCATTGTCATGATATTGTGCGTCCGATCGGCTAGAGACCCGGTGGTAACGAGTACCACAGGCCCAGGCTCGAGGAGGCGATTGACTTTATGCGTGGGATAGGAGAGGAATCGGCACCGATCATTGAAATGATCCTTTGCCTGCTCCTGCTCCTGTGCCTGATCCTGAATCTCCCGGCTCTTCTGCTTCTGATGCCATCGAGGCCTCTTGCTGGAACGGCGTGGGCTCAGACCTAGTGGTCTGGTTGGCTCCCTTTTCCCTGCACTTCGTTTGTCGTCTGATACTCGCTTGGGAGGCATTTAGGCCAAGGTGTTGGAAAGGGTGTAGATGTAACTTTTGTAAGCTTGTAGACCTAGACTTCAGTCGAGAATTGCTGCCTAGGAGAGCATATGTGCATGACAAGGAGGGGTGACCTGACTTGAATCGCGTGCAGGAAATGGGAGTTGTGGACGCGTCACTGCGAAAGAACAAAGAACGGCATTTCTGGAGTGACGTCTTCCCCGCATACTCGCCGGGGTCCCGTGACCTCCATTTCTTTTCGCCATAATTCTACGAGTGTGCATACAAAGAGAATATTTCTGTCTTGTGCAGACAGCTGCTAAATGTATAGACAAGCACGACAAAGTGTGGTTTTGAAGTGCTCGAAGGGAACACTGTATCCCCTTCCCTTCAGCATAATCTTCCATGTATACAGAAAGATGTTGAACTGTAAACAATGACCAATTGCTCAATGACGATCTTCAGCGTGACATTCCTTAGGACTGTGTATATCCCAAAGTCCAGGTCACTCTTTGTGTATCAGATCGCCTGAGTACTGTACATCTCTAGCTGAAGAAAGATTCATTCGGTTGTATGTTATTCATCCTTCCGCGCGATTCTCCAACATTGTCCCCTATCCCATCTACCTCAACATATGCAACGCAGATACCAGTCCAGCTCAGTACTTCATTCTCTTCCTGTATGTGGTATATGTCCTCCTTGTTCTCTTTCGGTCGAAGTCAAAAATGAAGAGACCCTGAAGTGACCCGCACATGAACCCATTGTATATATATACATATAGCCCTAAGACGTCCATCACAAGCACAATTGAGCCAACTGAACTAGCTTCGTAGTGAAATGCTGTACTCCAACTTGACTCCAAGCATGTTTCCCTTACAAAATACTATAATATTGGAATGTAAACCCTCAGAAGGGCCTGTATCACCGGCAAGGAGGGAGGTCCGAAGTGTCGAGTATAGTCTTCACTCTCTTTCTCTCTATCTTTCTTTGCGTTTGCGTATGTGTAGTAGTATCTTCCAAGGTTTCTCAGTGGGTACCCCCTCTAGATCCACACGATTGGCAAAGCTACCAGTGTATCAGGGAAGAGAGTCAGGGCTGCGAACCTCGCGGGGCAAGAAACTACTATGACAGGTCTTTCCGCCATCTGGCAATGGAGTTCACATCCATACTGTGTATCATGTACAACCAGGACCTACCTTAGACAGTTTGCCCCCGCCTTCCAGCATATTGGTACCAGAAACCTCACCGAAAAAATATATGGAGTCTATACCTTCGACTTTTCTGTGTATGTAGTACAGTACATGCGGGTGCTGGGAACGACCCTAATAAGAGGTGTGTTTAGTTCGAGCCTATGCTTTTACTGCAGTGGTTATGGGCTGGTCCACAGCCCCAGAAGACTATTCGAGACTTTATTTTGAGGTAGACAGTACGATCCTTTGCAACCAGCTTACCAACCCGGGGGCTCTTTTCCACTATCACGATATACATACCTTGCTTAGATTTGATCAGGACTTTGTCGAATGGTTATATGTACAGTACACACATACCCGCAAGGTAAAGCCCGGCACGGCAAAGCCCGGCACGGCACGGCACGGCGAAGGCGGACTTGGAAGAACAGGAACAGGAACCCCGTATTCAATGTATACTAGGTACTGGTACTCAGATTCCCCTCTCAAGCTCCAAGATGTCGAGGGGGTAGGCAGGACAGGTGGGGAGATATCCTCCTGTAGGAAGATATATATCCAGATCTCGAGGCAAGCGCGCGTGGCAGCGACACCTCCCACGAAGAAACTATCTTCGGCCGTGGAAAGTCCTGTAGTGTACCACCCCGCGATGCAATGATGATCCGCGAGAGAGACAAAGGGTGAGATCGGGGAGGAGTTAGACTACGGCAACCCCATTTCGGATCTACAACAAAAAACAAAAATATGCATGCCGCTGATTTCTGCTTGGAGGGGGGAGTGGGTGCGAGATGTATGGGATACGGTTGGTGAATCCTGATTGTACATATAGTCGTCTAGTTTCTGGCGCTTGTTCTTGTTCTAAGCTCCGCAGTAGTAAGGCTGCTTTTGTGTACGGGTGGATTCAAGGTGTGTTCGTCGATGAGCTCCGGTTATGCATGCACATGATGGTGGGAGGTGGTGGATTTGGGGTAGGTACTGTTGACCTATTGACGCTGGGTCGAGTAATGGTCCGCGGTCAGTGGACGCCTTGGGCGAGTCTTGCTTGAACGCAGATGGAGTCGGGTTGTCAGCAGTATCGGCTAGAGTGGTGAGTGGGACTGAGAGATCTGACTGGCGCTCACGGTGCTGTACATAACCCATCCGTCAAACTGACCAAAGACTACGTCCCTATACTTATCAACGAGTGCATGATATCCATTCATCCTCACATTAGTTACAGAGACCTAGCCTGTCCTGTCCTGTCCTGTCCGTTTCTTAACGAAACAGGAGCTACCGTTAATTATATCAACGATAACGCATTGCAAAAGCATCGCAGCAGTTTTCAAGCATCACAAAAACAGAAGCTCGATGTCTCAAGAGATGAAAAGAGAAAGCGGGAACTCAAGATCCGCCCAGAAAGAGAGATGACTAACGTAAGATACAATCCATGCCAAACGCCCTGGTTAAAAGCAAGAACACAACAAGTAACCTTGATGGGCATGTCGGATGTGTCAACCCAAGGGAGCGTTGAACTTGGGTGACTGAGCCCATTCCCTTCCAAGAATACATCACAGCGGTGATTCGGGAGTAGAGGCCTTTGTCTCGACCATGAGACAACGCTCTGAGTGCTGAAGCGCACTCGGATCGATGCTGTGTCACCACCGACGACGTAGCTAATGGGATCATCGTGGTCGAGGCTTGATGAAGATGTGGGATTCTGTCCGATAACATACTCTGATATTGAGATCGCAAGGTCGCTAAATAGCCCGGCAAGAAAGGGGAATATCGAGAAGAATAGGGTCTTTCATAGAAGAGGCAATATCAAAGGCGAGAGGACTGTCGGGTTGCAGGAGGAAAGAAAGAACGTGACTCGGATGGCGCAAGTACGCGACGACTTGCCAGGATGATTGGAGACTCTCAGCGACGGTCGGGGTTGGTTACCTGAGAACTAATTGAGCCTCAAATCAAATATGATGGGAAGGGTAAAACCTACCTGCAGAATGCGACGGGAGAAGTCTTGATCGTCGTCGATACTGCCGTTGCTTTGCCGTTTTTGAGCCATGAAATCACCATCGAATCGGGAGTCACTGCCCTGTGCCATGGGCTGTCCGTAACCGTCCACGCCAACACTGCGACGATATTGCGCTTCCACCGACTTACGGTTCTTGAAACGCCAGAGAAAGAACCCAGCACCGATGAGCGCACAGAGGCCGACCACTCCGATGACCACACCTGCCGCAATCGCAGCAGTGTTGGCACTTGAGCTTTTTGACTTCTCGGTTGGGGTAGCGCTTGCATCGGCGGCGTGGGTGGCAGGAGCTTCGGTAACATAGACTGTCTGCCCGCCGCTCGTGACGGCATGAACTGTGGGTGTCTGTGTTGTCGAAGTCGACGTCCCTTCGGTGCTTTTGCTGGAAGTACTGCTCGAGGAAGAGTAGTTATCCACGTCATCCTCAATGCCTGTTAGATAGACCGAGTATGTGTTTGCACCGCCACCTAGACAATCGGTCAGCATTGGATACACATAGAAACTTCACCTAGGTGAAGGCAACATACACATGACCGAGGGCCAGCCAGCACACGACAGATTGCATTCGTCATCCGATACTTTGTCCGAAGACGCCGGTAGTTCATTTCCGCAGAGACAGTCTTGTTTGTTGTGGAGCGCAAAGACGGCGTAGTTGTCCTTCAAGCATAACTTCTGGCAGTATCCGTTACTTTGGTATGTGTACGATCCTTGATCTTCCAAGGGCGTTGAGCTCGAGTAGCATCCGTTGTAAACTTCGTCATAGGCAGCGGTCGTGGGAACATGGGCAGCCAAAAAGAGGACCGAGGCCACAAGAGCCGACCGCATGGTCAAGAGTTTCGTGAAGGAAGACATGATGAATGGAATAACGATGGCGCGGCCGATAGAGGTGACTGGACACCTGCTCCAGACACAACAGTCAAGGTGCTTGTTGATGCAAACGAAGGGAAAGGGACGACCTGCGTAACCCTTTTGCGGAGCGCTGGGGTGGATGTTTCGAAGGTCGGGGGAGTCTCGGCTTCCCGTCTTGCGCAAGATCTTGGGTACTTGTCACTGCGATCTGCGGCGGAAGAGTACAATGTGAGATGCTTTCGAACTGTCGAGAGTTGAACCCCGATGGGCGCAGAAAGAAGGGCTAGAGTGATGCAAGCGATGGAAAGAGTGTGTGATGTTCGCCTTGGCGGGGAAGAAAAGGGCCTTGAGGAGCGGGTTGTTTCAAGCACCCCTTTCTGTCGGACAGAGTTTAGTGGGCGACTGAACGGGTAGCTTAGGCAGGGGAATCAGTCAGGGTCGAAAGTGCCCCAAATCAATAAATGAACGGATTGGTCCTTGATAGTATTGAGGGGTGGGCAATTCGGGGGGGGGGCGGAGATTTTGGGGAAACGGAAATTGGCGGAATAACGGCTATACGAAGGCGTCGAGGTCTGAGTTGCTCTAGGGAAGCAACGCGTGACAGGCAGCCGGTGGAGAAAATAGAGAGAAGTGTGAAAAGTAGAAGAGAGAGACAAGTGAATGGGATGAAATGGTAATGATAGTAGTGGAGGCCCAAAAGAGCAAACGAGTGTCTAGGGTCAATAGCAGCAGAAGGGGATGAAGGAAAGTGACGAGGCAGTTCAAGGACTCCTCTCGAGGAAGGAAACGAGTGTGATTGACCGGACTAGTCTAATAATTAGTGAGATTAGGTGGATAGGAATAGAATTGCTGCTTGCTTGCTGGGCGGCAAGATGGAAATGGGGGTGTGGTTAGACTAGGGAAAGAGGGTCGGTCGAGGGTGGAAAAGGCCCTTAAGCGACGCACTGACAGGCTAGTAAGAGGATCCTCTAGGGGGGAGGGAAACAAACAACAAAACATGCGAGTTACAGATACAATGAGTTGGTACTTGGTACTTGGTACTTGGTACCAGGTACGGTAAGGCTCTGGGAACGGGAGGGAGACCAACCCTGGATCAAAGGATGTGCAGCCGTGCAGCCGTGCAGCCGTGCTCCTACAATACATACAGTACATAGAAAAGGGCACCACGGCAGGGTGGTAATCTATTTCACTACTGAGTCAATACCGGATAGCTTACCAGATACAGTACCAGGCAGGTACCAGGTACGGAGCACATTGGAAATGATCCCGCGGGTGTGACGAATGATCGAAGGGAGGGTCCAGGGGCAACTCCCACTTTTTCCTCCTTTGGGTCTAACACGGGCGGAGACTGGCATGTGCGAATCCACTCCAGGCTTGCAGTTTGGTCATGAGCTGCTCTGAAACGGGATGAACATCCCTCCCATGGTACACCAAATAACTTAACTGACTTAACCATTGATGATGATGTTCTTCCATCTCACTCTTCTAAAGTTTCGCACGACTGACTGAATGTGTGAACTGTAGTCAGTTTGTCCATGATGCACAGTATCCGATAATCTACACTACTCTACACCATTCAACTACAGAGGCATCTACAAAGAACAAACACACACCTCTCTCAGACCCGGTGTATTGTAATGACTCCGCCCATGTCTTACTCCGATTATCGTCCAACCTCGACCACTACCCTCGAGGATATTTATAGTACGTCGTGAGGAGAAAAAAATTCGGGCACAGTTATACGTCGATCCGTCATACTTTGAGTGGCCTGCTACCTCTACTGCTGCTGCTGCTGCTGCTGCTGCTGCTGCTCGAATCCGTCCACTTGACAGTCGTTCGTGACGAAGAATCGATGATTTCCCGCTGTCTTCCTTGCTTGTGGCCAAATTATGCCGAGTACGTGGTGGCCGTTTTTGCGAGACACTTTCTCCCGCTCGCCTCGAACTCCCGGGGCAATCCAAAGCAGCAAGCAAGCAATCAATCACCTTTCTCTCGAATGCTATTCCCACCACATTCCCTGTCAAATACTGTGTAAGTCGAAGTCTGCCTGCCTGACAGTTCCATTCTTCTCAGCCACGCCCGACATTCCACTCCGTGCTCCCGAGGAATGATGTTCAGATCGTGCCAGTGAGTCGGATGCGAGAACGAAGGGCGAGGCCACCACCGGCAAGGGGAGAACAACACCACTGGCCGAAGAAAAAAAAACTGCTCAGGGACTCACGAACTAAGGTAGACTAGAATCCGTAAACAGTTCTCTCACTTGGCCTCTTTGATCCTAGATGCCTGTGAGCCACCAATGGAATGACGGGCTGAGGTAAAATAGTCCCTGACTCCTAAAGGCCCTTGAGTCCTTCCGGCTAAGTGCAGGAAAGGAGGGGAGAGAGTGGACGAAGTGGAGAATTCTCTTCTAGCCCCAAAACCCCCAACCCTAGATGTTCGCCGCTCCGAAATTTTGCCATCGTCAGGCTGTCAAGTGTCAACCAAAACCCGCAACACGCCTTTCCAAATTGAAAGCATTGTTCTTGCAAAGTGCCAAAAGATTAGAAGTAAGATTGGAGACAAGAGATGTGAGGTCTGGGCCCTCTGCGTTCAGTGAGATCAAGATTGTTCTCCACTACCGCAATAGCCCGTAAGTTACATGCTATGCCATCTTTCATAGGAATATTGGTCGAGCAACAAATCTGACCCCGGCGCGTTGAAATGAACCCCCTGTATCCGGCTTGTCCGGTGTGCGTATTGACAGTGTAAATTGCACGAAAGAACTCTCTCTTTGCGGGCGGTTCAAGCCACGCACGTCGTGGGCTGAATTTGGACCAGACAGTTTCTCAATGGTATGACGCGTGTCCGGATTGCGGAGTTGGCATGTAACATGCGATATACGCCGTGAAGCAAACACCTTCGAGGGCTTCTGTGATCTGCTCACTGCATTGAACCTGTCAGTTTGAGTAGCCCTGCGATGAGAAACTGAAGCCAGACCAGCTTCCTAATCTAACTCGACTTTCCTCGCACGTCTACACCAGCACGAACCTGGGGAGTTTCTATGCCGGCATGAACACCCGTGGCCCGAGGTAGTGGATCACGGTTAGCATTGTTTATCTTTAGCAAACAAAGCCCCCCCGCCCAGGCAAGAAGATTGACTTTGCAGGGCAACTCCGGGCGGGAACGACGAACGATATGTCCTCAATGTAGTATCTAAGTCGCTTGATTGACTGATGATTGTTCATCACTTGCTGAGAAATCAACCTTGCTCGTTTGGATTGACATCAGCAGGCGACTTGGCACATGACCCGGACAGACGACGGTCGGGCGGGCTTGTGACGGTCTGCAACGGCTGAATAGAACTTGCGATTCTCGAATGACGGGGGCGGAGCGTTCATGTCTCAGTAACATGGGTCAGCTAAATTGGAGTGTAGAAGCGGACTAGGTAGGAGAGATCCATTGTGTATTTGTGCGCAGTTTGGAACAAAGATAAGACCTACTTCAGGCCTCGTCTCGACCTCAAGAATCACCGGCATTGATCATAAGAATAAAGTCGCGTGAGTCGTGCTATGGTCGCAAGGGATAATCGAAACCATAGAACATCCCCCCACATAATGATAGTCCCTCGTGCGAAGAAAAAAAAAAGCAACATCGACGACGGCCAGAGTGAAACAGGCCGTGGACCATTCTAGACTGTGGGACCAGAGAAGGCTTCCCATCTACCTTAGCGATGATGCGAGGCAGTTACCGCTAACTTAGACAGGCAATCACAGAACCTGCCAGCATTCTAGCTATCGGCAGCACTGAGGGTAAAATTTAGGTGTAATTATCTGCCTGGTGATCTCATGTGTCCTTGCGGCGGTTGGATCTATTGGGTTATCGTGTCAATATGTCTTACTTGGTGAAGAGAGAGAAAAAATATGAATGATGCTTTGGTGGTAGTGTGAATTTGTACCGGCGGGCTATTTTATGTTGCCGGTACATGGTCGGGCGGAGATATATAAGCGACGAGCGGGCCGCATATTCTTGAAGTATCTACAGGGGGAAACATGATAGGATATTGCTGGATCATTGTCCGCGGGGAGCCAGCGGTGGATTATTTTTTTCAGAAACTGCAATCAAAGGTGTGTCCAGCAGAGGAGATGGAACAGTTGCTGGCCTTGGTAGTATGTTCATTCGCGGATCCCGCATTAGCAGGGGCGATAGAGAACTTGGTATACCTTGGCCCCATTCTACTGTAATTTCAGTATCAGGCAGAGGCAGTCTGAGCCCAAGAAAGAAAAGAAGGTTATGGCTGCACTAGGCCTCGAATCTGATTTTACTATCAACAACACCAGACAAATGCGAAATGCGACAGTAGAATGTGACTTGTCTCAACAACAACGGTATCTCCAAAAATACTTCGATGTCCACTTTTGACGTAGGTTTTCCCTCAGTATATATGCTCATTTAAGACATCTCTATCAAGAAATGGAAACCTCGGCTCAGACAGATTGGACGCGCGTCTGTTGAGCCTTTCATTTTCATAAGTCGAATCTCCTCTAAGGCTTGGGGATGTGCAGCGTCTTGCTGACCATTAGACAGCCATGTAGCACAAAAAGAAGCACAAGGGGGTGGAACTCGAACGCGGTTCCTTCGCCCGCGAGGCCCAATGGTAGATTGTCCTGGACCCAGTCCTGAGAGACACAGTAGGCCATAAATGCTGCGATGGATAGGGTGGTTGGGATGGGCGTGCCCTCGAAATACTTGGACTTGCCGGTCTTGTCCTTGGGAAGAACAGCAACGGTCACGTTGAAACGCGCCAATCTGGTCAGTCCGCAGAGAACGAAGAACGTCAGGAAGAAGTGGTCGACAGGGGTGCGGATGCCGATGGCGAACGCTGCAGCGGCGGGTGCCATTCCGAAGGAGATCTGGGAGAGCACAAGAGTAAAAGATCAGCAGCAAGCCCCCTCCCATATCAGAAAAGACCACAAACGTACCAGATCCGCCAAGGAGTCGAGCTCTTGTCCCATCAGAGAAGACTTCTTCCTCCATCTAGCGATCTTGCCATCCATGAAATCAAAGAAGAGTCCAAAAGGCATAAACGTAAGAGCAGCCCAGAGAGAGGAATAATCGGTGGGATCCCCGAGACAGTAGCGCATTGACGAAAAGACAGACATCACTGTTTAAAACAGTCAGTATGAGGTCGCAGGTTCTCGCTCGGGCTGGGGTGTAGCTTGCCTCCGCAGAATCCTATAATTGAATACATTTTAGCAGAATTCTCAAGGATCACTTTCCAATGACACCAGATTCCTTACCATTCAGTTCAGTCACAAGATCGGCGAGATGTAAAGCTCTTGTAAAGGATGGCAGATGAGTACAAGGTCGAAGAAACCAGCTTCAAGGTCGGGGATGCTAACCTGACCATGCTAAAATGACCCGTTTCTGCTGAAAGGAGCATCTTTTGCTTTTCTTGTCCTTTAACACAACATGAGCATCCTTTGTCGCAGACAGACTGGCACCAGGATTTAAGCATACCTCCATCACCCGCAGGTGGGACACCGCTATTCTGAGACGTATTCGACGGCATGGTGGATGTCCTCCGAGACATGCTCAAATTGCAAATATTCGATTGATAAAAAGACTGAGGCGAGGGCGAGATATCGAACGGGAGAAGCTTGGTTATATGCGGAGGTTGTCCGTGGGGAATGGAAGGGGAATGATGCAATGGGAAACCAGTTATCGATGAAGGAGTGTTGACAGGCGCACAGATTAATTCTTTGACCGCTTAGGCGTGGCTAGACGTCATTGCAAGGCGGTATTGGCCTGCGCCACACACAGCCTCTGTTACCAACTATCGGAATACGTTGCAGAATTTGCGCCACAAACGATCCTTGGACAGATGCTGCAAAAGGTGAATGTGGTTGATAGCTAATAGACTTACAGCAATACAGCTGGGGTTATAGCTCAGTGGTAGAGCGCTCGCTTTGCATGCGAGAGGTCTGGGGTTCGATCCCCCATGACTCCATTGTTTTTGCCAGATTTGTACCTAGCTGCCCGCCCTTCTTGGATCTTAAAGGGCTACTACCAATAAAATATCATTCAAGTTTGATTGTCGAATTGCTACCACGAACCAGAATTGCGACATTCATATTTTTTTTTTTTTGGCAATCTGACCTTGTCATACGTGCACCAATCTGTAGTTGGTTGAAACCTGGATATCGGCGAAATACCTACCACAACCTACGCTGGGCTTGACCAAATAATTATCCAAGACTAGAGAAGCAAAAACAAAGATCAATTGAATAAAGCACATAGATCAGAAGCAAAAAAGCATTGGAGTCATGGGGGATCGAACCCCAGACCTCTCGCATGCAAAGCGAGCGCTCTACCACTGAGCTATAACCCCAGCTTAGTCATAGTCCTTTGATTCATTTGTAATGAGCAAAACAGAATCATCATCGTGACTCCAGATTTTGCCCTATGCTCAGACCTCGCCGCATATGTGTGTCCTTCCTTGCCAAGCACATTCCTCATGCAAAAACAAGTCTGGAAGGCATAGTATGAAACAATGTAGTTATCCGCACAGCCTGATAAATCTTATACATCTTGACTCGATACCGTCCCCAATCTTTACCTGGCACCCGGCGAACCAAAGATGATTAGTATTCATCTGAAATCCATGCCACAAAAACACCGACCGGACATGGTTATGACCAGCTGCAGGTTGTGCAAAAAATGGAGTCATGGGGGATCGAACCCCAGACCTCTCGCATGCAAAGCGAGCGCTCTACCACTGAGCTATAACCCCAGATTAGTCATGCTGACTCCATTCTAAGATTCCCATGGACTAACTTTCGATCTCGCCATATTCTGCGAAGACATCGCATCTCTCTCTTATACTGGGCTCGCGGCAATTCAAGGGAAACAAAGGTAGAATTAACAGGTATAATCATTGCAATACATGGGTCTAATGGCTGCATTGTGCTCACAGCCTCTGCACTTCGAGAAGCAGCAATTTTCCGAGAATGCACAAGAATATCGAGACAAATAAATTCCTGCAAGAAGCTCCCGTTTTCCCATAACGCCGTAATAAGACAGTACTTTAGGTCAGACAGACACTGTCTATCGTCGGAACCCACCGCTGCCACCTCCCCGAGAGAAACCACCACGACCACCGCCGAAACCACCGCCACCGCCGCCTCTGGAGAAACCACCACGGCCACCACCGCGACCACCACCGAAACCACCACCACCGCCACCTCTGGAGAAGCCACCGCGACCACCACCACGAGGACCACCACGGCCTCTGGGAGCGAAGCCACCACGGCCACCGCGTCCACCAGCACCACCACGACCAGCACCGCCGGCTCTCTTGGGCTTGGCAGCTCCTGTGAAGGGTATTAGTATCAATGATCTGTTCATGCACATATATGTTCGGAATCATACCCGGTGGGGGCTTGGGCTTGGGAAGGAACCTAAAGCCACGAGGTTAGCATCGTTCGCATGGTACCAAATGGATATCGTAACATACTTCTCCAAAGGAAGAAGCTTGTCGCCGCCGATGTAGACCTTGTCACCAGCCTTGAACGAAGTCGCGACAATGCCTTCCTGAGGCTTCACGGTGAAGTAGACCTGGTTGATGGGGCCAAGAACCTCATCGACCTTACCGATAGGGGTCTAAGGGCAAGTCTCGTTAGCAATGGTGTCGTTTCGGGAGCGATAATCGGAGTGGATCGTACTTTGTTCTCGAGGTAGATGGGGGCGTTGAAGTAGGGAATCTTGGGGTTGATCGATTCGCAAACCATCTCGCCTTCGCAAGAATGCATGACAGTTCCCATCTCTGTAGCAAATCCATCAGTGACTAGTGTTTGGTTGCTTTGTGGCGGCATATTTACCCAAAACCTGCGCCGGGGGTCCGACAGGCTGCTGAAAGCCTCCGCGACCTACCCAAAGAAAATTTCGTCAGCCTATCCTCAACGCGACAATCAATTCTCCCATGCTCTTCTGGCTGAAAACTCACCACCACGACCACCAAAGCTACCGCCACGATTGGCGCCCGTACCACGGCCCCGGAAAGACATGTTGTATTGCTGGGTGTTCTGATCGACCTGAATCCGGAGTCCGGAGAAGTTTTCAAATGGTGGGAAGCCTCGAAGCGGCAAGTGTCGCTAGCCGCAAGGGCAGTTTTAACTCACGTGACTCACCGCCCCCCTCCCCCGTCTCGGTTTTTGAGTCATGATCGTCCGATTTCGATGCGGAAGAGCCATCCCGCTGCTGGTTTACCCCTCTTCAATAGTCGGTACACCTCTTCTCAGATTGACCTTCTGACGTTGCGGGCTACAGTCATGGCTTCCGAGGGCTCCAACGATCTGCCTGTCAGGCCTGCTGCCGACGCCAAACCTGCTGGTGAGTTTACCATTTTTGTCCCGCCACATGTTATCGGAAGCCCTCCTAATCAGTAAACGAGCCAGGCAACGGTCTTCCCGATTTTATCATCGAACGTAACAACCTCTTCGAGGAACTGTGGCAGCAATATCTGGAAGAGCTCAAGAACAAGCCCCACAACGACATCAATGTCACTATCGAACTTGGTGACGGCAACACCGCCAATGTCACCGCGAAGGCCTTCGAGACCACCCCCGCTCAGCTTCTGAAGAACGTCCCCAAGGAATTGAGCGCTAGCATCGTTATCGCGAAGGTGGACAAGGAACTCTGGGATCTTGGTCGCCCGCTTGAGGGTGATTGTACCGTCTCTTATGTGCCATTTGAGCACCCCGAGGGAAAAGAGGTTTTCTGGCACTCCAGCGCGCACACCCTGGGAGAGGCATGTGAGTGCGAGTTCGGATGTCTTCTTTCTCACGGTCCCCCCACCCCCCAGGGTTTCTTCTATGATATGGCCATGCCCGATGGGTACGTTCATCTAGTCCTTGCCTTCAGGAGTTTCCACGCTAACTGCGAAACAGTCGTGTCGTCAGGGAGACTGATTGGTCGGCCTTGGACAACAAAGCCTCTCGTATCTTCAAGGAGAAGCAGAGCTTCGACCGGTTGGAGGTCACCAAGGAGAACCTCAAGAAGATGTTCGCATACAGCAAGTACAAGCTTCACTACATTGACAAGTTGGTGACCGGCGAAAAGAGCACCGTCTACCGGTGCGGTACTCTTGTCGATTTGTGCAGGGGTCCCCACATCCAGAGCACTGGCAAGATCAAGACTTTCAAGATCATGCAGGTATGTCGCGGTCATAGTATTTCTATCTCATAGTGGCCTATTGCTAATATCTCAAAGAACTCTTCGGCGTACTTCCTTGGCGACCAGACCAACGACTCACTGCAGCGCATCCGTGGTGTTGCCTTTCCCGACAAGAAGCTGATGTCCGAACACCTTAAGTTCCTCGAGGAGGCAGAGAAGCGCAATCACCTCAAGATCGGAAAGGAGCAGGAGCTTTTCTTCTTCGACGAAGTCTCTCCTGGATGCGCTTTCCTTTTGCCCAACGGTACTAAGATTTTCAACGCTCTCCAGTCCCTTCTGCGCTCAGAGTATCGCAAGCGTGGCTACCAGGAGGTCCAGACCCCCAACATGTATGATGTTGGTATCTGGAAGACTTCCGGCCACTGGGCGCACTACAAGGACGACATGTTCAAGTTGGACGTCGAGAAGAGAGAGTGGGCGCTGAAGCCCATGAACTGCCCTGGTCACTTCGTGCTCTTTGGTCACCGTGACCGTAGTTATCGTGAGCTTCCTCTGAGAATCGCGGATTTCGGTGTCCTGCACCGTAACGAGGCCTCCGGCGCTCTCAGCGGACTTACCCGTGTCCGCAAGTTCCAGCAGGATGATACCCACATTTTCTGTACTCAGGACCAGGTAAGGATTTGGCACGAGCTTTCCCGTCATTTCACAATGGAACTAATCCAGCGTAGATCATGTCCGAGATCGAGGGTCTGTTCGACTTCCTGCAGTCCATCTACGGCCTCTTTGGCTTCACCTTCAAGCTCAAGCTCTCTACCCGCCCGGAGAAGTACCTGGGTGAGCTTGCCACCTGGAACTATGCCGAAGAGCAGCTGAAGGCTGCCATGACCAAGTTCAAGGGCAGTGACTGGTACATTGACGAGGGCGATGGAGCCTTCTACGGCCCCAAGATCGACATCACCATTGCCGATGCCCTCAAGCGAGAGTTCCAGTGTGCCACCATCCAGCTTGACTACCAGGCTCCTATCAACTTCAAGCTTGAATATATGACCAACGAGAAGACGCAGACGGCCCAGATGACCCAGGAGGAGCCTAAGGAGGGCGAGGCCAAGTCCACGGAGCCTGGTCCTGGTCGCGCTCGTCCCGTTGTTATCCACCGTGCCATCATCGGCAGCTTTGAGCGTTTCCTTGGTATCTTGATTGAGCACTTCGGTGGCAAGTGGCCTTTCTGGATCAGTCCCCGTCAAATCCTAATCGTCCCGGTCATGCCCGCTGTCAACGACTACGTCGAGGAGTTGCAGCAAATCTTGCGCGCTGACAAGCTGAACGTTGACATTGATATCAGCGGTAACACCATGCAGAAGAAGATCCGTACTGGACAATTGCAGCAGTACAACTTCATTTTCGGTATGTTCTCTGTCTTGTTATGCTTCTCTCCTTCACTTATGCTAATTCCGTTATTCTAGTTGTTGGTGCCCAAGAGAAGGAGAACCGCTCGGTCAACATCCGTAACCGTGATGACCCCGCCACCCAGAACAAGGGCATCATGGTTCCTCTGGAAGAGGCCCGTGAGAAGCTCCGCAGTCTGCGGAAGGAGCGCAGACTGGTCAACTCCCTGTAAAGGGAGAATTCTGCCATTCTGCTCGCTGGTAGAGTGAGTTGCTTAAGAATACTCAAGATTTACGTGTCGATATACCATAGTTTTAGATCCTAGCTCGCATAAAGAGCCAATGCAAGGCAGGAAAGAAAGACAGACTAAGATGAAAGAGGTTGTGCTTCTAGACTTAAAGAGGGGATGTTGGACTTGCTATTGAGCTGGAGTTTTGACGATGATGTTTTGCTTGAAGCGTACGCAGCCTGGGAAAAGTGCGGTTTGTGAGAAGCTCTGAAGTTATCAATGGCTCGATTGTTGGCGTTTATCTTGTCGGGTCCTTCCCGGCTAAACTACTTAGCAAATGCTTGTATGAGGGAGGCTAAATTTACGCGACGGAATGCTGGTAGTTTAGCAATGCCAGGACTCCTGACTGAGCTGGTATATTCGTACGGTTTACGGAGTACTCCGTACTTCATATCGATAATTGTCTTTGCTTTCTCCTGAACATTGGCGCACTGCTTGATCCATCATATTCCTCTATGAGTGTTAAAGATCCACCCGAGCCCCTCTCTCCACCTATGTCAACGTAAGCTTTAGAGGGCACTTCCTCTCTCCCTTCCTTCCTCCCCCCCCGGGGCAATTGTTCCGAATTTTCTGCAACAATCCCATTCAAACACAATTCTGCCGTGCTAAAGTGTCTTTCTCCACACCCCAGAACACAGAAAGTGAGGTGATCATCGTCATGTCTGATCCCTGATGATGTCTCGAATCAACCGTCACCCCTCCCTGCTTATCGCGGCCGCGTTTCTCGCCGCATGCCTGATCTTTCTCCTCTCCTCGTCCCGCCGGACCGCCACTACTGAACCCCTGTCTCACAATGAATTGAACCAGCCGTCGTCGTCTCCCAATGATTACACGAACCCGTGCTACGTGGATCTCGACCTCCTGCGGCAATATTCTCCCACGTTTTCCTCAATCGAGTACGCACGATTAGAGATCGCCGTGGACCAGTCCGACAATTTCACCGGGTACACAGATACCCTCGATGCCAAGTTTCCCAAATTCCGGACGGTGTCCCTGGAGGGTGATGCGCAGCGGCAGGACCTCTCCGCCGAGCGATGCGCGCCCGCCGTGACTATTCAGGGCCCCCGGCCGCGTCCTCGTCCCGATGCATCGCACCTGGTCTTCGGCGTTGCGACCTCGATGGAGCGCCTGCTTGATTCTTTGGATGCCTTTGCGCATTGGGCCGGTGGAACAAACGCGCGGATTCTGGCCGTGGTGGACAGTGCCGGCGCCGCCAAGAAGGGGGCACTGGCACGGGCGGAGGCATTGGGGATCCGTTTGGTGATCCGGGAGAAGGCAGTGGAAGAACGCTTGGATCGGTGGTTCTATCTGGTTCGGTACCTGTACGAACTGCGGGACGATAACACCCAATGGACGGTCCTGATCGATGATGACACCTTCTTCCCCTCGATGGAGAGGCTGGTCGACCGACTGGCCACATATGACCCGACGCAGCCGCATTACGTCGGGAGCATGACGGAGGACCTGCATCAGTTGTATAGTGGGGGTTTGATGGCATACGGCGGTGCGGGGATTTTCCTCTCGCTGCCTCTGGTTCAGCAGCTGCAGCCTTTCTTCGACGAGTGCTACGTCTTCAAGAGTGGCGGCGATCGGATGCTCTCGCAGTGCATCTACGCGCATACGAACACGAAGCTTACCTGGGAGAAGGGCCTCTTTCAGGTGGATCTCCGCGGCGATGCGTCCGGGTTCTACGAGGCGGGTCGGGAACAACCGCTCTCGGTGCACCACTGGAAGTCCTGGTTCCAAGCGGACATGGTGGCTCTGAGTAAGGTAGCCAGCATCGCTGGCGACGAAGCGTTACTCCATAGGTGGCTTCTACCGAGAGACTGGTACCTCGTGAACGGCTTTTCGGTGATCCAGTATGCTACAATCTCGGATGATCCGCTGCCCATGGAGCAGACATGGGATGACAGCAAATATACGGGGCCGGATCCGTTTACGTTTAGCCTGGGACCGCTCCGGCGGAAGGATGAGAACAAGATCTCGTACCGCCTGCAGACTGCAGTGGCAGAGCGCGAGCGGGTGCGACAGATTTACACGCGACAGGTAGAGCCGGAGAGGCTAGAAGTGTTGGAAGTAGTTTGGGTTGTTGCTTCAGCAGACAATCAATGATTTTTACTTCTTAGATTACAATTTTAGTTTAGCGCAAATAGACCAAATGAATACCAATTATGAGCTCTCAAGCTGATTGGAAATCAGGTGGTGGTTCTGGGCTGCACACACTAGATCTTACATAGAGCGGGTGAATCGCTGGTGCATGCAGCGACTCGCCAATGCAGTCATGCCATCCTCCGATTGTTGCTAGGAGCTTGCCTTCGGCTAGGCCCAGAAATGCTTATCTTCTGCCATACTAGGTAGGAAAAATCCTTGTGTCTGTGGGAAGTGGCTGTTCAGTAGTAATGCATTTTCGACCTCATAAAGAAATTAGGCCGCCGTGATAGGCAGAATTCTTTTCCGTATGAAGCTGGGGCCATATCACAGATGCAGTCAGGCTGCATGCATTTATTATCACGAGTATTATTGCTGCTGCTGCTTGCTTCTCACTACTCATGCAGCACGGTGCGCGCTTCGTCGACCCAATCAGTGGAGCTGTCACATTTCAGCTGGTCTCCATCGGCCCCTCTCTTCCATCATTTGCAGCAAAGCAGACAGGCGGTTATCTGTCTGCTGCAAGCGGTTGGGTCTCCGGTGGGTTTCAGGACTCGAGACTGGGTCCATCCAGCGATCGAGGCTAGCGAGTCAAAGGAGCATATCGTGGCCTTCTCGGTCGGCCTGGGCTTTTTTTTTGTGTTTTGCCAATTGCCAGCCTTAGTTGTCTTAGTGTACCCTTCCTTGGCGGGGCGTTCCGGACGGGTTGACGGTCAGTCAGTCACCCAATCCTTGGTTCTTGTCTGCATTTATTATTACTGTATCACTGTTGCTCTCTCGTGTGCGTAAGGCGAGCCTCTCGTATAATTGAGGGTGTCCGGGATGGGATGTAGATTTCTCTGGAAGGGGGCTTTATAAGAAAGACAGGACAAGGTTAGAGCGACAGATAGAAAGAAAAGAGTAAAAAGGAACTTGTGACCAGCAACTTAGTTCCCCCTCATCCCCTCATTGCCTTTTCCTCCAAACTATTTGCTTTGTACCCCACCGGGTCGGAACAACTCGCCCTCCCCCTCTTTCCCCTTTGAGCCTCCTTGTCTCTCGCTCTCTCGCTCTCTCGCGCCATCCTCAACTCTCACTCGCTCTTCGTCTCCTCCTCCCGTCTTTCTCTTTCTCCCTTCTCTCCCCTTTCTCTTGCTATCCTCTCCTCCTTCCGTTGGCTTTTTGTCCTCATTATTTGCTCTCATCTTGCTCTGCCGCTAGTTCAACATGTCCGACCTGCAGGGCCGCAAGATCTTCAAGGTCTTCAACCAGGACTTCATTGTCGATGAGCGCTACAATGTCACCAAGGAGCTAGGTCAGGGCGCATACGGTATCGTCTGGTATGTTGTGATGCTATTCAACTGGTTTCAAACGGGAAGGGCAATGAAGACTAAGAACGGACAGTGCTGCTACCAACGTGCAGACGGGTGAAGGTGTTGCCATCAAGAAGGTCACCAATGTCTTCAGCAAGAAGATCTTGGCCAAGCGCGCTCTGAGAGAAATCAAGCTGCTTCAGCACTTCCGAGGCCACCGTAATGTACGCTCTCACGCTATCTAGCTATCTTGACCCCTGGGAAATCGCTGACTCGAGCTTGTTGCAGATCACTTGCTTGTACGATATGGATATTCCCCGCCCGGACAACTTCAACGAGACCTACCTATACGAAGGTAAGCTCCCCCACCCCGATTATTTCATTTGAAGGGGTTGCTCACACAATGGATCACTCCTATAGAGTTGATGGAGTGCGACTTGGCCGCTATTATCCGCTCCGGACAGCCCCTCACCGATGCCCACTTCCAATCCTTCATCTACCAGATTCTCTGCGGTCTCAAGTACATCCACTCGGCGAACGTGCTGCACCGTGACCTGAAACCCGGTAACTTGCTGGTCAATGCCGACTGCGAGCTGAAGATCTGTGATTTTGGATTGGCCCGCGGCTTCTCGATCGATCCGGAGGAGAATGCAGGATACATGACGGAATACGTCGCCACGCGCTGGTACCGCGCCCCGGAGATCATGCTGAGCTTCCAGAGCTACACCAAAGCTAGTAAGTGATGTCCTGTTCTTTCCATGTCGTGCGAGATGCTGATATCAGGACGCAGTCGATGTCTGGTCTGTCGGTTGTATCCTTGCTGAGCTGCTCGGAGGCCGTCCATTCTTCAAGGGTCGCGACTATGTCGACCAGCTCAACCAGATCCTGCACTACCTGGGAACACCCAACGAGGAAACCCTTAGCCGCATTGGCTCCCCCCGGGCCCAGGAATATGTGCGCAACCTTCCCTTCATGCCGAAGATCCCCTTCCAGCGCTTGTTCCCAAACGCCAACCCCGATGCCCTCGACCTATTGGACCGCATGCTTGCTTTCGACCCCACGTCGCGCATCTCGGTCGAAGAGGCGCTGGAGCACCCGTACCTGCACATCTGGCACGACGCTTCGGACGAGCCCACGTGCCCCACCACTTTCGACTTCCACTTCGAAGTTGTCGACGATGTGGGTGAGATGCGCCACATGATCTACGACGAGGTCGTGCGTTTCCGCTCCACCGTCCGGCAGCAGTCGCAGGCGCAGGCCGCCGCGGCCCAACAACAGCAGGCTGCCCAGCAGACGAACGTGCCCATTCCCGAAAACCAGCAGGGCGGATGGAAGCAGGAGGAACCCAAGCCCCAGGAAGCGCTCGCCGCGGGCGGTGGCCACCAGAACGATCTGGAATCGTCTCTGCAGCGTGGCATGGATGTGCAATGAGTGTGTGCGGTTGCTGCCTGCGCTGAGCTGCCGGTATCATCCATGAACCATCAATGACTGCACTACCAAGGGATGACCAATGAAAGATGGAAGATGAAAAAGAAGAGATCTAGTACGGGGCACGATTGCTCCCCACGTAATATTTGTCGATTCAAACCCCCTTTATCAACCAAATTCGTCGACTTGCCCGTTGTCGTTCTGGAACTCGCGGGCGTTTCCGGGACTGTCATCTGCCCGAATATGCTATGTCTATTACCCTCCAACAATGTAAAACCTTCGCGGTTCACTGTCAAATCTATTCTTCCGAGATGCAAATAAACCAAAATTCAACTTTCTTCGTGTATGTTCCCTCTCAGAGGACTTTTTTCCTCTGTACGGTTTTATCATAGATGAGAGTGCTTCATCTAGGTGACTCGATCTCCGAGGTCTTATTCCCAGTAATCAACCACTTCTTATTCCTGCTTCGTCCGAGAAAGGAAGTGTTCTTTGACAGATACATTAGTTGTAAGACGAGCCACTATCGAATCCGTCTTCATCAGTCATAAATACCATTGATATTCCACTATACTATACACATCAATCCCCACGTAACGTCATCGAAAAAAACCCAGGATTTTGCATCCTTTCTTCATCCCAAACCTGAAAAGCTCCACGTAGAAGAAACAAGCAAAATCCAAAGGAATCTCAAACCCCAAGCATAGCCCTCAAGAATTCACCATTCAGATGCTGCACCCCCCCCCCCCCCCCCTTTTCTCACACTACTAGAGAATATGATAATTCTCCTTCCAAAACAGTAGGTAGCAAGAAGATAAGACAAAGTCAAACCAGAAACCTCCCGCGCCTTCCCTGAAAGCCAGAGCTATATAGACAAGGGCCAAATAAGAGTCAAAAGTATATGAAATGATCCTCAAAAAGAGCATCCAATTCATTAGATATGTCCCACTGAACGGAATTAGCTCAAGCTTCAGTAGTAATACCCGCGCCACCAGACCGCCATACAAGCGGCGACCACCAGATCCAACATCTTGATGCCTTCGTCCTCGATGATCAGCTTGCCGAGCTTAGCGGATTTGCCGCGCATGCCGCCGCCGGCGCGCTCGCGGGCCAGGGAAAAGTCGAGGCGTTCGTCTTCGCTGGCGCGGCGGCGCAGGAGGAAGGCTTTCTCTTCTTTTTGCTTGGCGTGATGGTGGTGGTGATGGTGGTGGTGAGGATCGTCGAAATCGCCGCCGCCGCTGCTGGTGCTGCTGTTGGATGGGTGGCGGGTATGGTGTTGATGTCTGTGCGGGCTACCGCCACCACCACCTCCAAGGCTCGAGGTGCTGGCACCAGAGCGGGCGCGGGGACGGGTGTAGGTGTTTGGGTTGAGGAATTGGGCGAGGGAGTTGCGTTTGGACGTTGTCGAGGCGGCGGAGGTTGGTGTTTGCGGGGAGGAGATGGCGGTGTTAGTGGGGTGGCTGGATTCGCCGGGAGGGGTGGTGAATTGTTGGGGATTGGAGAGGTCCCGGAAGGGAGTGGTTTGGCTGAGGGCGAAGGGGGAGACGTGGGATGGGCCGGGGGGTTGGTGGAGGTGACCGGCTTGGAAGGGCGTGTTGAAGCGGATCTCAGCCACGGTTACGGCGGGGGTCTCGGGGGGCGGCGCCGCAGTCGAGGCAGCGGAGGGGAAAGGGTGATGATGGCTGCTGTCGTTGCTTCTGCTGTGAGAGTGATGAGGGCCGCCCGGCGTGGGTATCATATGTTTGCATTTCAAGCTGCGGCCGTTGACGCTGGTGGAGAAGGTACAGATGCCGTTCCAGGGCGACGTGAATGTGTAGTAGCCGCTCTTAAGTTTGGACATGCCCGGCGGAAGTGGCTTAGGCGGACTACCGCTGCCTCCATGGTCGAGCGCCGCGCGGTTCATGTCCAAGGAGCCCCCTCGAGGCTCGTCTTGGATATATGGCCGTGAGACGCAGAGCTTGCGGCGGAAGCGTCGAGGTTGGGAAGGGTTGTTCGGGGTGGAAGTCGGCTTGGGACTTGGAGTGGAGTCTAGGAAGCCAGGCGGAATAGAAGCCGGAAGCTTGAATGATGCCAGTGACGGTGGGCGTCCGTCGGTATTGGGAAGATTCAACCCCAGACTAGCAAGGGAGAAAGGCTCATCCTGCGCCAGAAATCGATTGTAACCTGGGGTAGAGATCTCGATATCAAAGGCGCTACCGTCCAAGCGGGGAGTGGAAATCGTCGCGACATTCCACTGACTGCCATGGGTGGGATCGCGGCGAATGAGAGTGATATGAAATCCGGGGGCATCGCGGGGTTGACGCTCCTGCGGTCTCCGGCTTGGAGACTGGCCTGGGCTACGCGCAGGCGATCCTCGATAAGAGCGCGCGGGGCTCCCATGAGCCGAGTGCGGCCGGATTTCAGGCCGAATTCGAGGCCGCCTAGTGTCTAAGCTATTGCGACTGGACGACAATGCCTCGTATTTCTCCTTCCAGCTTTCCTGACCGCGGGAGATGTACCCCGACAGCGCCGCGCTCCACCGGTTGGGTCTCTTCATCGAGACAGCGTCACTACCTGCAGGATCTTCCAGCGGGGCTGCAGGTAGCTGCTTATGCGGACGCGCATTTTCCAGATTTGTAAGGTCTCCCGTAGCGAGCTGCAGAACGCTGTCGCGATCATCCAGTGGCAGATGTGGCGGAGGGGTAACGGGCGAGGTTTCACTGGGCACGGTGCCTTGGAAGCTAGGACGATAAGGGAGATACGGACGCTGTAAGGTATCCAGCACCGGTGGCGGGGACTGAGGCTCCTGCGGTTGCCATGAAGTTGGGCGCGGATGGGCTGGAAGCGGAAATGCGATATTGGCTTCTGCCTTGGGCGAGGCAGCCGCATTCGCGCCGCCCGGTACAGGCTTGCGCCGGACGTTGTTCAATCGCGCCAGATGTGGTTGGCCTGCAAGAGGGGTGTCCGCATCATCTCCGAGAGCTTCCTTGCGCTTCCGGGCCTCCTCTTCGCGCTCTTGTTCGTATTCCTGGAGAAGAGCTTCATCTTCGGGGGTTGCGACGTGCAGGTAATAGAGGGAGGCATTGATTGCCTCCGCCGATACGCTCGATTTCGTTGGGGGTTTCAAGGGAGTGAGGAAGACATCTATATTGGCGCAAAACAGACAGGACAGTCAGCAGTTGTTCATCCATGTAAAAAAAGCGAATCCAAGACTGAAAGGTAGGTGGCTGGGTCGCACGACTAGCCTCGACGGCAGGCGGTCGATAGTGGTAGTGTAGTGCGGGGTATTTGCCGATATCATGCAGTAAGGGTCTGTATGGTTCACATTGTTTACCCACCTCTACTGCCAGGTACACGCACGATGTACAGGACTAGGGGGTCCAACTTCTTCTGCGCCGGATTGCGGGGATAAGCGGGAGGATTCGAGGCGATGGCAGTGATTGAAGATAGCGAGCGGGCCTCGACGGGGGCTCGAGGCAGCCCTGAAACAGCCTCCCCCTCCCCCGCAGCGTCAATCTTCGGCATGGGATGTGGAGGCGAAGTCCTGAAGTGGAATGGACTGCGCAAACAATTGCGCTCAGAGACCCAAGCCAGGAGAGGCCGAGCAGCTATCGAGTTGGACCACCAGAAGGCAAAGAACAAGAGGAAGAAGAAAGAGGCTGGGAGAGAAACAAATAAGAGGCGCGGAGAAGCCGGAGAAAACGCCAAGAAGATGTGTCGATCGTCATCGGGCAGCCATACGAGAGACGGGGATGGGGAGGATCAGAATAAAGAGAGGTCAGAGAGATCTCGGAGTGGATAACAATGAAAGGACATAGTCTGGAGAAAAGAAAGATAGTTGGGTTACACAGAAGAAAGTCAGTCGAGTTGTGGCTGAAGAAGCAGAAGAGGAGGAAGAGGGAGAGGGAGAGCAGACACACGAGCTTGGACTCGGCGGGTTGTTTGGTTGCCTGGCAGCCCCCCTTCATCCATTTGTCCAGTTGACGGGCAACAATACAGAAAAACCTACAATAATTCACAACTTACGACACAGTCAACACAATGATCATCCATTGAGATGATGGCAGATGAGTGATTGGTATCTCGCTAACAATATATCTTCATAAGAAAGAAAGAAAACAAAAAAAAGGCCCTTGAACCTACAGTCCTCCAGTCCCGAATCCCATTAATCATTCCCCATTCGTCCATCAAACCACTCTAGGTAGATAAAACCATCCAAGGTCAAGTCATAAGACTGTCGAGGGAATGACAGACAGACAGTCTGGAGAGAGAGAGAGAAATAAAGAAAGAAAAATGAAACAAAATGACAGTCGCCGCATGAACGCCAATGCTCCTTCCCAAATGTATATGCCTGTGATCCATCTCCAAGACCATATAATCCAAGACAGGCTTAAACAACCGTCTCCGATCGCTCGCCGGTCGCAATGATTGGCACATTAAGCCCACGTTCAGGGCTCTGCAGCACAAGCTGCTCGTGACGTCGCGCTCGCAAGAAGTCGCTAATGGCTCGAATCAGGATAAACCACCCGACAATCATCAACACATAGGAAATCCATTCGCTCGTGGTGATGCCGGACATGCCTCCACCGCCTCCGTCACCTCCTGTGCTGCCATCAACATTAGTAGGGTCAAAACTGTGGCTGTTTGGATCGGGAGGCGTGACATAGTCGGCGCCGCCCTCGTCCGACCCTTTTGACTCATTGCCGCCTTTCATGTAGAAGCCGTATTGCACCAAAGTCAGACCGAGACCCGCCCGGCTACCGTTTTTGGCTGCATGTGTGGTATGGAGTAGATATGTCAAGAGGAAGCCGACCAGCTGGAAAGACATGGAGATCATAGCATTCCAAACGAACGAGAAGATCGAGCCGACCGGCAGCCCGTCCACGAAAACCTCGTCCGAAGAGATACCAGGGGCCAAAATCGTCGTCTCCCAGTATGGCGGGGTGGCGTCAGCTGCCGCTTCTTCGTAGGACTAATCAGAGATAGTCAGTACACATATCCTCCCGTGGCAACCCAGCGCGCGGATTACAAATCACATACCGGTGGTAAATCCTCGTTCTTCTCCCCACGCTCGGGCTTGGCTGCCAGATTGGCGAACACACCGTCGTTCGCTGAAGTAACCACCCGGCTTGCTCCAGAGCTGGGGGTGCTGAAGGACGGCAAGATGGTTGGTCGTCGCTGGATGCCTCCGGTACCGCGAGTCTCCCCTGAGGACGCCTCAGGGCTGGCGCCCGCTCCTCCAGACGAGGATGCCGCTGCGGTATTCGCTGCTGCCGCACTGCTGTGATTGTCCGCCATGGCCCAGGGTTCTGGCTGGGCCCGCATTAGCCGCTGACGGTCATCAGGCTCGTCGTCGGGTTCTGAGTCGCTGCCGTCCCCGAAGGCATCGGCTAGGGTCTGGTCGGCATCGTGTCGGCGAGGGTCATCGTTGGGCAGAAGGCGTCGGGAAGAGAAAGAGGATGAGCGAGAACGAAAGGAAGGGGGAGGGGAGTTCGGGGTCGGGCTGGTTCGGAGAGGGATGGACGATTGAGATTGAAGGTGGTCGTCTTCATCGTGGGCGTTAACCTGCATTTGATCCCATCGCGTCAGTTTATCTGAAATGGTACCAAACACACCACACCCAACGAGCACAGAAAGAATGCTACCACTTCTGATCGAGGCCCAGGGGTGGGAAAGTTTTATTTGAGTTGCATACCCTTTGATAACGCTGCGAGCTCATAATGAGCGGAGCGAGCGGAGCAACCGGATCGGAAGGGAAAGGAAAGAATCGAACACAGTCAAAACGAACACCCCGGACAAGATAGAGAGATCGACAAAGAAGACGGGAGGAAAGGGAGAGAGCAACCCAAAGGGGATGTGGAGGGGGTGAGAAGATGGGATGGCGAGGAGTGGAATGGAAGGAGATGATCGGGGATGACGAGGAGACGGGCGTAAGGCACTCAGGCACCGCTGGGTGGGTGGCGCAAGGCTGTGGGGGCCTTAGGCAGAAGCCAATCAGTAAGCATGAGTTGGTTGCACAACATACTTCCTCGGCATTGCTGCTATGATCATGAGTATGCTGTGAACGACCATATGCAGGAATGAATGATGACAATGTGTATATTTTTATTCTTATACCTACATGAGGTGTGTACTGAATAGGAAAAGAAGGTCAATTGTACGACGCCGGCGCGTTTACCTAGTTGTCGACAAATTGCATCCACTACACACAGACATTTATGGCCCCCGACTGACAAATATGGCTCGCCTCCATGCGAGGTTACCCTGTTATTGACCTCAATTTCTCGACAGTCGATATCTTGCCTGCACTTCCCACAGCATCAACTATGATGAAATATGGCTTCCCGAAACATGTCCGCCCAGTCGACGGTAGAACTACTTAAGATCCATGGTCTCCAAGACATGAAGATACGAGCCTCACTCGACCGTTTAAAGGATCTCATCATACAATCTTATCTTTATCCAGGAATCACAATCTGGACATTCTCGGGACTTTGTTCGCTCCACAAACACCAGAGAGCACCCCGCAATCTACTCGATCCAACAGCCCAAGCACCATGGCCTCAGAACCGAACAGCGACCCCCACCGCAAAACCTGCCTCATCCCCTACGTGGATCCCGACACTGCACCCTCAGTCATCCAGGAGCGCCTTAAAGTCCTCCCCTTCCGGCGCAACATCCTCCTCATCCTCGCTCACTCCCAAGGCCTCTTCCCCCACATCAGCGGCCTGCTGGGGGCATGTTTCGACGGCAAGCAGCGGAAGCTCTCGCTCTTTGACTGGCAGGTAGTGGTGCTTCGAGTGTCCCGCGCTCTCGATGCGAAGTATGTGTGGGATGTCAACGTTCCCGTGGCCGAGGCGTTCGGCTTTCCCCCGGAGAAGGCCGAGGCCATGGGGTGCTCGGCGCAGGACGTGGTCGAGGGGAAAGGCCCGTGGAGTGAGCGGGAGCGGGCGATCTTGCGGCTAGTAGATGAGCAGTTGAAGGGAGCTACCAACGAGTCGGACACGGTGAAGGAAGCTCTGCAGCACTTGGACGTGGACGAAGTGGTGGAGGTGTTGGTCATGACGGGGATCTATGCGATGTTGGCGGGGGTGATGAGGGGGTTGAAGATTGACGACGATGAGGTTATTCCGGACTTCCAGGAGAAGATCAGAAGTGCTGTCTCTGAGAGTTAATTGGGGGCTGTGGAATGCATATACTTTCTGATTGCCATGCTTTGATTCCTGTACTTACAACAAGGTAGTCCAATCACATTGCCATATTCGGAATAGATTACCCTAATTGCTGCATTGTTCAAGAGCGGACGCAGACTATGGTGGAAACACTTGCACCAGCATCAGCTCCGAAACTTTGATAATGAGTATGAAAGAAAGAAGATCTAACATCCCCCAAAGAAAACTATCTCCCAACCAACTCAGACACATATATCATCCCAAATTCGTAGAAGATTGGTGAATATATGTAAGTAGCTTACTAATCCCTGACTAACGAGCATAAGCACATGCAGCTCCGCAACAAAAGTTGCATATCGCGATCCAACCAAACCCACCCAGAACCTCATCCCGCAAATTAATTGACTGCCATCCAAAACCTCCACCATCTCTACACCAACCCCACCAATTCACAACCACCAGTCCTACCCTCAACCACTTAGCCACTGGCCCAAGGGCAACCCTACACAGAAACAATGGCCACCAAAACACCAGTACGTCAATCCACCATCCACCCTGTCTCCCCCCAATCCCAATACCAACCCCAACCCCAACCCCAACCCCAACCCCAATCCCATTCTCCGCCTCTCAAAAGCCCAACTAACACCCTCTAAAAGTCAACCACAGCCCGCATAACCCACCTCCTCACCCACTGGCCCAAAGACAAAGTCCGCCCGGCCTCCGTCTCCATCCACGCCTATCTGCAATCCCGGCTCCCGCAGCCGCAGCCGCAGCCGCAATCGCCGCCGTCGCCCTCCTCCTCCTCTTCCTCATCTTCCTCCGCCCGAACAGCCCAAAAACCGGGTCTCTCCGAGGCCAACCTCGACGCCCTCACCTCCCTCCTCAACGACAAGTACGCCCGGCGGTACCCGCTGCCGCCGCGCCTGCGCCACCCGGCCAGTAACCCGCAGCACTACGAGAACGTGATCCGGGAGTTCGACGAGGCGCCGGACCGGGATTGGCTGGGCCGGTTGCGGAAGAAGGTCGTGGGGATGTTGCGGTTGAAGTAGACTTCACCTATTCCCTTTCTTACCCTGTGGGGGTTTATGTTTTTTCCAGTGGGTTGCTGTATGATAGGGTACAAGGGGGGAGAGAGCCGGTATGGATGGATGGGTAGAGGTAGTCTGGGGGCTGGGGCGATTATGGCGAAAAGGCCTTGGGCATTACGCACGGCACACGGCACTTTACTCTTGCTTTCTGGGGTTGTAATAACATGGGGGAGCATTTGGTAGATGGGTTGGGTTGGGTTGGGTTGGATGGAATATGCTTGCTTGCGTCGGGCTTTTATCGATCCTGGAGAAACTGGAGTTCGATTTTAGAGAAGTTCGAAAACTCGAAAACTCGAAATAAGGGGATGGGAATCGGGGATGAAAAACTACTGTACTGTACTGTACTTTTATGGCTTATGGCGCAACAAAACTTGTATATATATGTGGACCTTTAATGATGCGCAGCAATCAAAAGTGATGGAACTTAAATCATAATGCAATTGCGATATTCCGTAATCTTATTCATCTATGTACAGTACAATCCATATCTTCCGACCTGAACCTGTCAGGCAATTTCACACATTATATCCAACCCTGTCAATCCAGCTGCGAAGAAAAGGTGCAATAGAAACAAATCA